CTTCCAATTAACCGGCACACACTTACTGCATTATTTGGCATTAAACAGTCACATGTGTTCCTTTAGCTCCTGCCAGTGTGAGAAGACAATACTTTTAAGGTGAACCAGGCTATTTGTTCAGCGGCTATTTGGCTCTGGGAAGTGTCCAAGAATGCTGATGGAAGCCTGCAGGTGTGCAGCTTCAAATGCTTTCAAAGTGTTTCATGCCCAAGTCTTCCAGAAATGTTACACTTCATAACCATCCCCTTCAAGCAAGATTTATGCTATGCTTTGAATATTTCTAATACTCTGAGTGCCAGAAACCTCTATTTACCAGGCTCAGTCACTGGACAAGTTGGTCTGGTCAGGGATCACGTATAAACCCATTTATGTATAGGCCATTATTTTATACAAGCTACTAAAAGCAGGTGTGATTTCAGTGTGCTTGCTCTGAATGTGAAGCCTATTGCTTTAAGACTATCAATAAGGAGAAAACAGGAACAAGTTTTAATGACGTTTATATAAAAAAAGAAAAAAATCAGTGTTCTTTCACTATGATATGTCTACAACAGAAAGTACAGTACAGTTTCAAGATATATCCCACATATTCTTTGAAGAGGGGTTACATATTCACAGACATAATACTGCTATGCAAGTGCTTATTAAAAGCAATAAAAACACAGAATGATCAATTTATGCTCTACAAATTTGAGATTTGGTGTGTACCACTGGAAATTGCTTTACACAGTGTTAGAATTTAAAGCCTTGATGCTGCAAAAAATTACTGGGAACAGTTGCAGCTTATGCTACAGTTATCCACAGGTCAACATGCAGGAAAAGTTCTTAAAGAACTGGGCACCAAGGTTTCTGGCCTAACTATACAGATACATAAAATTAATACAAAGGAGGGAAGATTGAGGTTTCTTGGTCTATCAGTTCTCTCAAGAACTCTCCCTAAGCTTTTCTTTGCTCTGATAAGAAGCTAAACTCTATTATTTGTCACCATTAGACCAACAGTACAAAGCCATGAGGGCTCCAAAATGTGTCTTTGGCTCTTCTGGGGATTACATAAAGGTATAATTTCCATGTTTGTCCCATTGGCAACTCCTGACACTAGGATGGTTATTACTCACACAAACAGAAATCTGCAGCCAATCAAAATAACATGATTGGCAAGAAATCTGGGCAAACTTTAATAGCTATGGTTCCTCAACATCAAAAGGATGAAAGTAGAATAAGAATTTTTGGCAGGGGAAGTGAGGATTTTTAAAATTCTGATTGTCTTCCTATGAGGATTGTGTTATAAATACTGAAGACTAACTTAAAACATGTTCTGGTTTCATGAATTCACATTGAGTATGATTCCGCTGGACCCACTGAGTTACACTCATGTCACATCCACTCTTCTCAAACCGAGGTTATCTGGGACACAACAAGGTAAGAGAGTGGGATTTGGCACAGAAACTGCATGGCCGAAATTATTTGAGTGTCTTTCTGAATTTTTTTATCTATGCATGCAAGCATACTACAGTGGAATACAGACAGTGATCTTTTCGAGAAAGTCTAATAACTTCAGCCTTCTGGGAAATGGACAGCCAGAAAAGATCCCTACGAAGTGGAAGATGGATGTAAATTTAAATGTAAACCCTTTAATTTTCAACCAGCTCCAGTTCAGGACAGTATCAGCCTGTCTTTCACTGGAATGTGATGAAGCAAATGAGCAGCTGTATTATTTTAGTAGGAACTGCACTCACTTGCCACAAGATTAACCTATGGAAAGGCTGTTTTAGTAGACTTTCTATTAAAAAAGTCCATGCTAACTAATAAAGACTATTTTGCAGGCACAGAATTGGGTATTCTTGTTAATCTGCAGTAAGGAGCAGAATCAAAACATATGAATGAGATTGCAAGCAGGTAAACTTCCTTAATTAATAGAAAATGACATAAAGTTTGGGCTCTTCTTCTAGAAAACATCCTGTAAAAATTTTCCTTGCCTTGTGAAAAGTGAATACCTTCACAGAGAACCAAGAAAAAAAATGTTCAAAACCCAATCAAACTTCATATTTTAATATTTTTGAAATATTTTTGATTTTTACCTTTATATGAATGTACTCTGAAAAAGTCATATTGAGCCCTGAATCAGAATGATCTGTTTAATGGCACTGAAATGAACTTCTTTCCCCAAGGCAATAACATAAAGAAGCTAAGAAGTATTTTCAAGGAGGAATAAATAAAAAAGATTATTACATGCGAATGGTTTTGTATGAATTGGTATTTTTGGATTTAAATAAAAAGTTTGCTGAAATATTTCCCAGGCAGATCTACTTGGGCCTCTCATTCATTGGCACAGGCTCAGCATCAGTCACTTAAAATATGTGTTTCATCATGTACTTAAAATTGTGACATTCCTTAAAAAAACATAATACAAAAATCTTTCCTTTATACTATATATTTACAGTTCTATTATCAAGGTACTGTGGAAAACATAAACAAGTATACACACATGTAAATACTATGGCTTGAGAAAGGTTTCCTCTTTGATTAGCTACTGTAATCACAGATCAGTATACACAGATAAGAAAAAAACAGTACATTTTATAAACTGCTGTCAAACAGCAAAATGTAATTTCTGGGGTTTATGCATTAGCTGCTGAGTAACCACACCAGTCATTGGGCATCTTTCCTTAGACTGAAATGTCTGACATACTGGAACAGTGGAAGGCCATCAAGGTATTTGGGCTGATACAGGTGGGTCTGAGGGAGCAGGATTTGCTCAGTCTTCAGGAGAAAAGACCAAGGGGAGGCATTACTGCTGTTGTCAACTACCCCATGGGGGCTGTAGGTGAGATGAAGACAGAGATGCATGCTGAAAGGATGAGAAGCAGTGGACCAAAGCTGAAACTTAGTAAATTCTGATTAAAAACCAGGAAGGAAAAAAAATAAATCATGAGCATGAAATTTTCACTGGGACAGAAGCTCAAGGGTTGGTGGGATCTTCATCCTCGGAGACACTCAGAACCCAACTTGGAGGATCTCTGAGCAACCTTATTTGACTTTGAAGTTGACCAGGTTTTGTAGAGAAGCCTGGAACTCCAGAGGTCTTTACAACTGAACTTTACGATTCTATGGAAAATCATTAATATAATGCAATGTTTTCATTACCATTGTAGTTTGGCTCTGTGGTAAACACATAGTTAAGATCAAAATATGTCAATTGCTTAACTTGGATTGTTCTTCCCCAGCAGTTGCTAGCATTTTACCTAATTGTCTCACACAAGATTTACCTTATCAGTTCCAGTTTAGTGAAATTGCCCCAAATTCACATAATTGCAGATTCAGACTCAGGCCACCACACCTCCAAAAGAACATTTAAAATGTCACAGCTGATAGTAAAGTCCTGCTGAGAGTCACACGCTTCTGACTGGTTTTGGGACAACAGCAATTTTGTCGTATTTACATTGAGTAAAGTTTCCAGTGATTCACAACTCTGAAGAGGAAATGACAGGGGATCAGCATGAGCCTTGACCAGCACTGAAAAATACCAGGCAAACTTGTATTGCTCCTGGCAGATCACAGTTTGAATTAAACTCACAGGTGAGCAAGTGTTGCTTGTTTTTTACTGGACAGTTACTGACTGTAGATGTATTTAAGACCTGAGGTGAACCATGGGCTAAAACTGTTACTTCACCTTCTCATTATCCTACTGCAACAACAATCATCATCTTTGAAAATCACAGGTTAGCATCAAGTATTGTCACTTTGTCTCTTCTAAGACAATTATCTTTTCTTGCAGAGTTGCAATTTGTTATGATGTGCAAACGGCGGTATGAATGAATCCAAGACCTGGTACTGCCTGTAATACCTGTCTACTGAGCCCATGGTCCTGATGCCCTTTAATAAGTGCACTTCAGATACAGCCAGACTCAACAGGTTACAACATAGATTTTGTAACTCCTAACCTAAAAAGTAGTATAAAGAGGCACTCTGAAAGGTTTTAGTCTGGTTAATGCAGAATATTAAAATAGAGAACATTTCTATATAATGACATAGTCCTGTATTAAAGAATAATGTGTCTAAACACACAAAATAGCACCAAAATGTCTCTGTTCTATTAAGTGACCAATAGCAGCTGTTGAATGGTATCAGGACATTTTAAAGCTGACTTAATTGAGGTATTGTGCAGTAAGTGCATATTAGAATCCTTTATATAAAGAACACAGATTATCTTTAAACATCTATCCTTGCTTACTGTCTGCTTTCTCCATCCCAGATAAAAGTCTTTTCTATGTTAGCAGGTACTCTTTGATGAGAACTGCTGCAGAGTTTGACTTGACAAAACACCAAGAAACTCAACTGACAAGGTGGTAGGATGCAGAAAGCCAGAATAATCTGACAGATGACACCATGCCGTTTGGAAGACAGATTCAGACCTAAGCAAGATCTAGATGGAGGCCTTCCAATCAGTCAATCCACACTAGAAATGCGGAACATAAATTAATTAACAACTGATCAAGGACTGTGGTTGCTTTTTCTTCAGTTGCAGGTGTAAAATTAGACTGAATGCTTTTCTAGAACATACATGTTATTCAAAAAGGCATTAATTTGGTGAATCCCACTAGTTTCTGTGCAATGCCATTTTGCAGTGAATCCATACTGGCTTCATAATCTGTGAAATGTTTGTTAAACATGCTGGCTGTTAAGTGGGTTTAGAAAGCCACTTATACATGTTGTGGCTCTCTGCATGTCAATATGTTATATACTGCTTATCTTGACACTCTTCGGAGCTGGTCTTACTAAAAACTTGCCCAAGCTTTCAAACAATGAATTATATCAGAAAGAATGTCCAGGGCAGATTAATGGAGAGGTAAGAGGCTAGGAATAAATACATGAAAGAAATCCAACTTTTTAAAAGGAACCAGCTACTAAATGGCCTCTGCAGTCTTCCATAAGAAGTGTGAATACTTTGGTACAATTCAAGCTGAATTGAATAACTGTTTTCATATCCAAATTCAAATACCGTCTGTGCATATAAAACAGCTCATTTATTAGTCCAAATGTTACTGTTGTAGAGCTCTTGGAAAAATATTCCCTCTTTCTTGAGTTTGTTCTTCATAAAAAGGAAGCTTCAGAGGGCCACCTAGAGAATTAAGTAGAAACACAGTTTCAGGTCTGTATAATATAATACTGAAATATTACAGAGATTATACAGTTTACACTTACATAATTCAATAAATGGTACTCTTCAAAAGAATGTAGAGGACTGAGTTACACTGGCCTCCTCACAGGGGCAAAGAGAAGGCAAAACAGTAAAACATCTCTCAAGTGGAGAAGTACTTCCTAAACTAAATGCAGAACTATATGGTATCACCACCAAGCCAGATGTGATTAGAGTACAAGTGGGAGGAAACTTTCACTCAGTACTATATCTTGCTAAGAATAAAAATTATCTAAAAAAAACCAACAAAAAAACCAAAAAAGACAAAACCCAAAACAAAACCCTTTTGTAATAGGGTGATGAGGTTTTGAGCATGCTCAGAAATCAATCCAAATCTATTTTCCAATGCTTTGTCTACTTATCTGTCTTATCATGTCTCACCATGCTCTTCAAAACCTGACAGCTTTACAAAAAGTAAGCGAATATGGTGGCATGTACTGCAAGCAAGCCCCCTTATTCATTTTACAGAGGCTGTGGATATCAACTATTTCAGGGCAAGATTTCGTACTGGCAGCCATAGAACAGTGATAGAAGAGGGTACCACACTCTGGCACAGCTGTGCTGGAGGTAGCCTCAGGAAACCTGCACCATGTTTGCATGGTGGGTTGATACTCCCATACAAATGGTCCACTGCCCACCACCATGGTCGATGTGTGATTTTTCCTACTAAGAAAGGCTGCACTTCTCCAGCTTGCATTACCTTCTTTGCAGGTTGGTCCCATCCACGTTGCTGGACATACGCAGTTCCCATTGTACGGATTGCACTGGGATTTGTTGGCACACTGGCATTGTAGGGAGCAGTTGGGGCCATACTGGTCTGACCTGCATTCTAGAAGAACAGAAATATTTGGAAGAGGGTGAATGTTCCCCTAGTAGTCTCCCTGTTCTCTGAGATCAGGAAGCTACTTAGACGCATCTGGTAACATTAAACCATGACATCTTGGAAAGCTTTGCAATCTTCAAGTTTCGTCTGCCCAAACTGTAGCCCAGCTGTCCTAAAAGAGTTCCCAGAATGGAAATCATTACTGGTGTAAAAACAGGGGTTGACAGCCCAACAGAAAAAATCTTGAGATCTACTCAAGAAAGTTACCATCAGCATCCTGGATCCATGCTATCTCCTGCACCTCTCCACTGCATGGCTTGGCTGTCACATTGTGTGCCAGCAAAGACCCTTCATGCAAAGAATGGGGAATTAAAAATTAATCCATTTTACACAGACTTTTATGTCTTACACCCATTACTTGACTCCTGGCAAATTAAACTTACAAAATGTCTCACTTCCAAATACAAACACATTTCATACCTAGGCTGATAAATCCTCACTGCAATTTTTTAATGCAGTGAGAGTACAGGCACGAAGCAAAAGTTGGCAGCAGGTCACAAGGCAGGGTGCTAAATGCACTGTAAACAACAGCCCTTTCTCCCTCACCTCACTAGAAAATACTGTAGATAATCAAAGTGCTTGCTTTCTCACACAAGCACCATTAGGTAAATTAAAGTGTGGCTAAGCCGTGCATCAGCTGCAGCCCCAACACATGGGAGAACTCTCCCTGTGTGCTCAGAGCTTGGCCTTTTCAATTAGCAAATGTTATGAGCAAAGGTCACCTCAAACACCTCTGGACCTGATTTTAATTTATGTAATACCACATTTTCATGTTAATAACAATGTGTATTTAAGACATCTGTTTGAAAGTCTGCAATGTTAATTTACTACAGAAAAAGAGTGCCCATAAAAGTCTGTTATATTCTCTCTCTCTTTTTTTTTTAATTAACATTTTGCCTGTTTAATGGGTGCTTTACCAGAGTTCAAATTAAAATCAGGCCTTTTATCTTTATGGCTGCTGCACAGTCACAGCTGCTCATAGTTATATCACAGATGAACTGAGCCTAATTGAAAATAAAAATGCAAATAAAACCTAGCCCATAACAGCTTTTCATGGATGGGGGCTACCCCTGATGATTTAAGAAAAATAAAAATGATTACTAGAGTTTGCAAGATACAAAAACTTGGTTTGCATTTTTGGTGCTGAGCTTCCCCCTTGTGTTCCACTTTTGCCTAAAATGTTGCTGGAAAGGCCCCTGGATATCCAGTACCAGGCTGGCCGTTGGGGTGGCTGATGTACCCCACTGGAGCAGCCCCTGCAGTATCGGTGGGTTTGGTTTCTGACCACAGGACAGTGTGGAGAGGGAATAAATCCTTTCCCATTTTAGTTTTGCTGGTTGCACTGGCACTTAAGCTCCCAGCAATTACTTTACGTTAATAACAGGCTGTTTAAAGCTGCTTCCTGCCCTATCCTAGAACAAAAGGAGAAACAATATTTCCCCACTGTGACTTGAAGGCTCAGGAGGATTAGGGTTGCTAGCGTGAATTTCTAGTGGATGTTCACTCCTTTACCTTGTTTGCCACAGCATTAAGATCACAAATCTCTTCCTACACTTGTTTAAACTGCTGCAATTCCTTTTGCTCCAATTATTACCTTAAAAGTACTCCGTCATAACTGTGAATTTGGCCCAAGAATCTTGCCTGCCATTGCTGCCTCTCAGTTCTGCCACCATCTCATCAGGACACAGTGGTGGGACTAGTCTTCCCTACTGGAAAATTTTCTCACCTACAAAATAATTCTGCTCTTGTACGCAACCATTTCCCAAACACACAGCCCAGGTTCACATGCTGCAAATGAAGGAATTTTATTTGGATTAAATGTTCATGGACTACTGATGAATCCTACAGGCAGGCATAGCTGCTACAGCTCTGCTAGCCTCATCACAGGGATTCTGCCCCCTTCCCAGGGAAGCAAACTTGGAGCTGGATATACTTTTGCATTGGTCTGAAAAGGGTCACAAATGTCCATGTGACAAAACACACTGTAGTAAGATCCCTCCTTCCCCACTACATCTGCAGAGATGTGAGCTTCTTGGTATATTCTTCACCAGCATGTGCTCCCCAAAACTCAAGGCAAATGACATTTTACAGCAGACCCATGAACAGTTTTCCTATCAGTGTATCCATTTAAATATTGACTAAATCAAGCGGTACAGCCTGTTGATAAAGCTGTTGATAATCCGTAAGAGTAATTTGCTATGAACAATGTGTTCCTGAATACCAGCAAATGTCCTTTTATAGGTACACTTAGACTGGTTTAACACTCAGATTGGTTTAACTATACAGAGTCAGAAAATATTACCCTTACCAATGTCACATTTTTCTCCAGTCTTCCCAGGTGGGCAGAGGCACTTCCCAGTCTCTGGATCACAAGGAACATCTCCGCAATCGCACTGATGCTGGCACCTCTCTCCAAACCAGCCCCTGTCACAGCCTGAGAGCAAGAGTGCTTTTTTAGACATATATTTGAATAGCAAGATATATATTAAGCCAGAGGAGATTTTCCGGGATGTCTCAGAGGAAAGCCCATAAACTCTCCACTGAAGCTAGTGTAAATGCCAAGTTTAATGAAGAATCCAACACAGTGGAATAGGCATATTTATATTTATAAACTCTCTTTATGTTGGGTTTGTCTAATCTAACATATCAAAGGTATCTGTAAATCTGTCCCAGAAATGTAACTGGCACTTATTTTCATTTTTAATTAGAACTCTCTTGAAGACCATTCCATAACACTCAACAGGTCTGACATGCACCTATTTAATAATCTTATTTGGAGTTTTAGAAGCAAATTTAGAATCAGTAAAAAGGACTTATTTTTAATAAACATGTGGAACTCATTGTTGCAAGACATCACGGAGACCAGGACTTTCACCATATTAATCGGAACCAGATTAGTTAATTTATAAGGAAATGAGGACACCCAGCTATATAACAGGTAAACTATCCCAAATTTAACATTTCAGGATATTCATAAACCTTAAAACATGGAAGAAGTTACTCTCAACAAACACGTATTTCAGTAATGGCATGGAGCTTTATGAGTTTTATTTTTTTTTTTCATTTGTTGATTTGTTGTTTGCTTTTTGTTTTGTTTTGGGTTTTCTTTGCTGTTTTTTTTTGTTTTGTTTTTTTTTGGTTTGGTTTGTTTATTTTTAATTTTACATCAGAAGAGTACGAGTACCTTTTTCACAGTGTACACCTTGATAACCCAAAGGACAAGTGCATTGTCCTGTCACTGCATCACAGCGTGCTCCATTTTTACAGGCACATGTGTGAAGACAGCTTAGCCCATAAAATCCAAGGGGGCACCCTGAAAAAAATTAAAGTATCAAGTGAGGACGGTTTATGAAGAAAAACATACATCTCTTAAAAATTCTCTGTATTCTCAGCTACATCCCCTGGGAGCCAACAGAAATTATATTTACCATTAACTCTAACAATGCCAGGTGCTTTCAAACTTGTACTGCCCCAGCATCAGAGATATGCAAGTTACTCAGATCTGGAGCAGCAGGGTGATCTGGGACACACTAAAAATTTCAACTGAACTAGCAAGGAGTTTATGTGACTACTCTGAAGCGCCAGCCACGTCCCATCACTCGGAAAACAGGGCACCCAGAGTGCCTCCACTTACTGTGCTCACATGAGTGGCCGTAGTAACCCTCAGGGCATTGGCAGCAGCCTGTGAATCTGTCGCAGGTGCTGTTGTGCTGGCATGAGCAGTCTAAGACACAGCCAGACCCATACTTCCCTGGCAGACATTCTGCTGGCAGAACACGGAGAGAAAAAACAGACAGACAAAAATAATCACTAACCTCACCCAGAGAAGCTCTTATGTGATAGTTCATACAATAACTTGCAGACCCAAGGAGAACATTTGTTATGAAGATGCAGCATTTCTGCACAACTATGATGTATTGTATGTATTGTATGATGTATAGTAAGTATACATATTTGGATAGGAATTTCTTTTATATTATATAGACATTCAGACAGCAATTTCCTTGTTCTTTTTACAGTCCATCTTGTAAAATTTGTCTATTAGCATAGTTGATGTTGAACACACATCACATTGTAAAGCCACTCAGGAAATGGCATCAATGGTATCTTTTTTTTTTTTTTTTAATCTACAGCAATAATTTATTTTAGGCACTTAGAAAGTGTGAAAGAGAACATGAAACTTTTCCTCCTCTGTGTTATGACTGGAGTTCAGACTATTCCAATTCCTAATAAAATTGGGGGATCTCTCCTTCACGAATAGCAAGAGACTTTCCATGTATAATGAGATATCTGCTTTTACAGAACTAAATATGTCTCAAATTACTGAAAGTCAAGTCATGCAAAAGCGACTGTGCCAATGTAATTAATCTAGACATTATTTCTGCATAGGTTCACTTCCCACTGCTGGGATAATGTGAATCTGAGCAGACCAACTTAAATAAGTGTGTCAGTCCAAATAATCAAGGTTCATAACTCTGCAAATGTCAGACAACATCTTTAAAGAACATCATATCTAATCACTAGAAAAAGGATGCCTGTTTAGCAGTCTTCGACTTCTAGTCAAAACACAGTCAAAACCACACTGCTGGGGAAATCAAGACTCAGTTTTCCAATAATTTGGTTATTTCTCTCAAAAGATAAACCTTGAAGCTCTCTCTAGTGATATAACACACAGTCCCTTATATGATGTCTTCAGGGATATTTAACCTAAGCACATCTGTAAGATACATGCACAACATGCTGCTCCACATGGTGACACCTGCATGACCTACCTTGCAACCCAAATGCAGCCTACGGGTCATTACAGAGGTTTCAAGGAATGGACAAACAGAGGTGAACACAGGTGGCCTACACAATGCAAAGTTAGCCAGTTATTGGTAAACTGCATTTTTTAGTGCCTGTATTCACATGTGAGTGGCTCCATTTAATTAACATCATTCCTTTTCTCTCTGCACACATGTATCTGTGAAATGGGTCTCTGAGTCTTCTCCTGAGGTTCAAAGTGAAACAATTACATTAAAGAATGCTGCTAAAAAAGTGTAATTTCTATATGACACTTCAGATAGGAATACTTCCTTAAAACGACCAATTCCTGGAAAAGGTCAGTACAGAGTTTGAGGTGCACATACTGTACAGATGTCAGGAACAGAAAAGCTGTAAGTCAGGGCCTGGAATGTGTATTGCACCATGGCAGTTACAATGTAATGGTGACATTTGCCTTGAATGTGAACTCAGAATGATTTTTTATTTCATACCAGTATAAACTCATGGTTTCCTGAACATTTAAATCCATAACTACACAGATATCTCTCATGTACAGAGAGAAAAATGAGAACACAGAAATGCGGAATGATTTTTGGGAGATGGACAGAAGGAGAGATGTGGAAAAACTGTACTCAGGACTGACAGGAGGGTTTCTGGAGAAAAAACTGAGCTTATTACATTTTAATGAGCTGTGTCTTGTGTAAGAAAAAGCTGTCATGGAGTAGTAAGGGAGAAATAGCAGGACAATCTCAATTGCTTTTGACAGATGTTGTCAGAACTGTGCTAGCAGGGAAGTCAATACATGGGAAGTTCAACTGCACTCCAGTGTCAAAGGGAAGAGAATAACAAGAGAGCAGGGTGATGTAGGATTCTGCTGACCTTGGAGGAGCACAGGAAAGAAGATACAAAACAATGTTGCCATGGAACAAAATAATACGAAAAGTTGGACATGAGAAGAAAGAGTCCATGTAAAGGAATTTATAGAACTTACAAAGCAGGACTCAGAAGATAACTGTCTCTGAAAAAAAAGACCTAAAGCTTTAACTAGGGACAGTTCTGTGTGAGAGAAGCTAAGACATGAATGCAGCTGGAAGGGAGTCTACTTAAGCAAAAACTGTCCCCTTTTGTGGGTCTGTATCTGTAGAGACCGTGAACCCTTGCTTGAATGCACACATTCACTATCATCAAAGCAGAAAATTACCTTTCTCACACGATTTTCCTGTCCAGCCGAGCCCACAAGTGCAGTTGCCATCCACATGGTCACAGATACCACCATTCTGACAGGTACACGTCAGGAGGCAGTTTGGGCCATATTGTCCCTGGGGACACACTACAGAGAATTAACAAAGTTTGGGAAAAAAAAAAAAAAATAAATGTTAGCATCCCAAAAAAGGATGAAGGTGACAGGGAAAAAATACAAACACATGCTCCCCACAGAGTATCCCAAGTGCCTTGTGTCTGCAGAGAGCTGTGGGACACTCTACTCCATGCTTATTCGCAGTTTCAACCAAACACTTTGTCTCACCATAGCTTCTCACTTGGCTTAATTCCACATTCACTTCCTTTGCTCTCCTTCCTTTGTTCCATCTCTCAACTCGCCCTCTTCAAATCTCTGCCATTCATTTCTTTAAGCTAAAGCAATTTGCTTCTAAATTTGGTCCCATCTAACCACAGCTCCTTCACACTGCTCATGTCAGGTGGTTCAAACTACCCTTTTCACCTTCTTTATGTTCTGTTTGGACTGCAGTCTCCCAAAGGAGTTGCTTTGGCTTTTTTGAGAAACTGGTGCAATGGTACCAAATGTGGTGGAGCATAGAGGTGAGATGTGGGCAGGAGAAAGGCAGGGTGGTGGAGCGGAGAGGGACAGGGGCAGAGTACAGCAAACTGCAGTGTTATCAAGCAAAGACGTTGGGAAACACACTTGTAAACACTGTTTGGAGCTGAGTCCTATTTGCTGGTTGTTCCAAGTATGTCATCAACTGACAAAATGACCTTGGGTCCTGCTTTGTTACCTTGCTGACAGCTGGGTCCCATTTGGCCGGGAGGACAGGTACACTTGCCAGTGCGCGGGTCACACTGACCTTTACCACATGCACAGAACAGGGTGCAGTCCTTCCCATATCGATTTTCAGGGCAAGCTGAAGGAAACAGATTCTTTTGTTAAACACCCTGGGTATCCAATGTCAGTTTTCATTTTTAACATAGGCAGGATCTTAGAGTTAGCTTTGGTTTTATTCCAGTTAGTGTGCTTTAAAGCAACAACTATGAAACCAAACCCCATCCAAAGACACAACTGCTTCATTCTCTAAAACTTTACTTAAGGTTATAAATATAACCCATGGCTTCACATGGTACATTTAGTAGGTTTCCTACCAAAAAAGGTGAGTGTACAACTGGAATATCAGCTGCTCATCCTTCCAGCTGAAGACTTCTGACAAGTCCTTCTTTCCTTAATATTGATGCTGTCCTATGCTGAAGAACAAAGCTATAGACTACTAAACATTACAACACTGCCGTTCTGTGAGTAAGTTGAAGAGAACTTCACAGAGAACATAGCTTTGGAAATAGCACAGAAAGTCAGCCACGCTATTTAACTCTGAAACAGAGAAGTAAAAGTAGAGTTGCCATGGAGTTTTTACCAGTTTTGCCATGACAAAACTTGATCTTTTTCCCATTTATTGAAACTAATGGCAGCACAGTGTGAAGCAAAATATTTGAGCTAATTTCTCAACCTAGAAATTTTAGACAGGAAGAAGGAACTTGAGCAATTCATGCTGAGCTAGCTTTAGAAATAGATTTGGGCAAGCAGGTTGTAATCCTGGGATGAGTGTCCTTGCTCCTACACATGCAGAAGAGAGAGAAAATATTTTGCAAGAGATTTTTTACAAAGCTGGAATCCTGATTTACAATTCAAGGAGGAGGTAGCTGGAATCTGTCTGTTTTTCTACTGACAAGCTCTTATGCAGATTACTCTTTCTGCTGTTTCTTGAAAGAAGCAGAACATGAATGTTGGCATACTTTTACTACAGTCGGCTCCAATAAAACCAGGCGTGCAATCACAAGTTCCTGATGCGGGGTCGCAATGGCCTCCATTCATACATTTACAGAGGTTTTGGCAGTTTGAACCATAAGTACCTTTTGGACACCCTATTTTAAAAGAACAAAACAGCAATTAGGCTATGTGCTATAGAGCCCTTTGCATTTCATGTCATAAGCATTTTTGTTACTTTCAATCAAAATAAGTTTTTCATTTTCTAACTCCATTCACCTCTAGAGGGCCAGGAGGAGGCACTGACGAGCAGATAGCTGCCTCAGCCAATACAGTCCACTGGGCAGCAAGGCAGCACTGACTTGCGATGGCAAACCCCTGAAGAGCTGGACCAACTGCTGCCCCAGATCCCAGTCTGGCTACTCCTGGCTCTGTCTGCTCCTCCCATTCTTCATGTGTGACAGCAGCAAGAAATGCAAGCCCACTTCTTCAGAAGTTTTCCTCTTTGATTTCTGTTCCAAATCAACCTGTTCACCCTTTCCCTCCTATGTCGGAGATGGGGCCCTGGTCCCTCTTCCTTTGGGCAGTGACAGCCTACTTTGCCTGAGGTGGTGAAAAGCCTTTTTCCATCTCTGCCTATTTTAGCAGTTATTTTAGCTGACCAGTTATGGATACTGGGGCAGGTCTCACCTTTTAAAGATGTTTAAGTTGGAGAAAGTTTCTTTTCCCTACAATCTACTCTTTCTCTCCAAACTGAAGTTGGCATTGCTCTAGCACATCTAGTGCTGTGCATGGAGGATGATGAAACTGTACACATGACAATAACATGAAATTTCAGAATACACCTTCTCAGAAGACAGGTACAGGAGAGAGATGGTTTAAATGCAAAGCCAGAAAATTCTCTGACTAAAATCACAAGGCAGATGTATTTCATATTAACCAGAAGAAACATGGATGGATTGCTAAACCAGGGTTACATGGCAACAAGCTGTCCATGAAGAGGTTTTTGAGGTGGTAGCAAATATTTCTGGTTTGTTTTTGGACAGCTAATGTTGAAGGAGCACTGAATACAAGATCAGGGAGACATGAATGCATCTGCCATGCTTAGCTCATGTCCTCAAGATACTCTTTGGAAGGATGGAGCACAGAACGGAGGGAGAGGTGGGCAGAATTGCTAAGCACTTGCCTGTGTCTGTCAGGGTTGCCTTCAATGTGCCATCACTGAACTCTGGAGATGCGGGTTATCAAATTTTTTCACTGCATTGGAATAAGGAGAAACTGGTGCTTTTAGAGCCACATGATCATAATTGAACTGTTACACTAGTGCTACCACATTCACATGTTATTTCTTTGCTCCTTCCTTCTCTTCCCTTGGAAAAAGGAAAGAGTATGGTTACTTTGGAAATCTGGTTGAATATATATTTGCACACGTCTCCAAGCAACAGATCTCTCTCAATCTCTGCGTAAGTAACTTCATATTTTTTTTTTTTCTCTTTTCTGAGGACATGAAAGCGTGCTCTGAGCAGCTAGTGAAATCTCTGGATATTTTGAACTATTCAATAGAGAGGGAGAGCTTATGATGAAGCTTTAAAGGGATGTCTTTTAAAATAAAACGGAAAATTGGCTTCTCCTCGGATCAGGATAGCAGATCATAAGAACTAAACACATACACACTTTTATACCATGCAGATATTTGCCCCAGCCCTTCTCAAACATGGCTTCTTCTCTGAATACTTTTGTCATCAGTGCCTCATCTGTCTGTACATAAAATCTGTTTCATGTGCAAACCCTGGCATCCAGGAGAGAGCCCTGCAACATCTATTTCATTTACACCAAGACATAAAGTTAAGGACACACCCAGATTCAATAATTCAATTGGACTCTCAGTGAGTTTCTCCTCTTTTCCCTTTCCTTTCAGTCATCATTTGGCTTTTCTCTTTTTTTATTTCTGTTTCCCACAGTCCCAAGCATGTTGCTTCTCCCTGGCAAAGCCCTCAGAGTTGTTCCTCAGCTCAACACTAGCAAAAGCTGCTCCATTACTGAAAGGGATGCAGTAACTCCCCCCTTACAAATTTATTTACCCTTGCAGCATTTTATTTATTTCGGTTCAACAAGGAGCAGCACAAGCAGGGCAAACACATCAGCTATGATGTTCACATGATTATTAATAAGGCCGTCTCATCTGTTACCATTTTGTAGTAGATCTTCTATGCAGGTAGCTAGGGTAATTTACAAAGTGTCCTGCCATTTAAGTAGGTTCTGCCTTCATAAAGCAGGTTAGCCTCTAACCACCAGTTATCTCATAAAGACATTTTCTAATTTAACAGTTTCCTGTGCATCTGACTTACGTTTTTCTGAGAACGGCAGGAGTGGCAGCCAGATTTTACAACTCATTTCCTGATTTTTTCCTTCTGATTTCGGTGGGTTTGCCATGACCAAGAGCTCCTAAATCTTTGCATACCAACTGCATACACTGGGGCTTTGCTTACCAGTTATTAATTGCATTGTCAAAAAAATCACTTCTGAAGCATCCTGTTACCTGCTGCTTGAAGGTGAAGCTGGTGATGTCTTTCTGGCTCAGAGTTCACTCAGCCCAGTAAATGTCACAGAAACATAGCATATTTTTTTTACCCATTACACCACCACTTACTGCTTTTTATTCATAACTTCACTCAAGTAGATCTGCCTGTCCACTGAGTTATGGACAACTGATGGGAACCTTATTGCTAGTTTGTCTACTTCCTCTGGATCCTACCAAGAGGCTGTTTCAGCTCTTCACTCCAAAATTTGAGAACATGAAAGCCTTGTTGCTCTTGGCTCCTGGAAATTCGACTTCCCAGCCAACTACACCTTTTATAGATACTTTCTCGAACCCTTTTTCACAGTACTATAAATATAGCAATAGTTGCCAGAAAACATTTCCAGCAGCATCCAGCCACATGTTGACTGGACTGAAGCCCATTTCACATCTTTGGGAGCAGCTCCCTATGCTGTTTTTAATATTATATCAAATGCTTCTTCATCCTGGAGCAGCCCTATTTCTCCCTGTAGTGAGGATAGTGGGAACATGCAATATTCCCGCCAAAGTAATGCTAGCTATCCTTGGTTATCAGACAGTCACTTTAGAATCAGGTCCGCAATCTCTCACTCCACTAACCTAAACCTAAAAATAACTCACTCTTAACATGTTTTCCATCAACTTTTATGTCTATGCAATAGTCTGAGTGGCACAGGGGAGAATAGGTAAAAAAACGCTCACACAGATGCACCCTCTCTGAGCCTCTACCATTCCATTACCTCTCCAGAAAACATTTAACAAAACTGTATTTATTAGGAATTTGCTGCACAAAATATTACGTATTTTTGGAATCAAAGAGAACACAGTGCCATGAAGGCTCGTGTCTCATATGTTGTAGGTTTAATCCTGGCTACAGAGAATTCTGTGGCAAAATCCCCTCTGAATGCAGTGAACCACAGACTTCATTTTGTAAGTAATTTCTTTTTATATCAGGACTTCAGTGTAATTATGCTTTAAATTTCAAAATTCTGAAATAAAATCTTAAGGATCTAAGCAAGCTTAATAACTTACTGTAATCTACAGAGATTTAGTACTATATGCACAGGTAATGACTACTGAAAGATTGCTACATAAACATAGTAGGCTAACCATGACTAAGTCTTTTAAAATGATACTGCTAAAAAGTTGATCTCTACTATCACTCTACTATAACATTTATTATAATCTAATGTATAATGGATCCAGATGGCTCTAGCCTAGGTGTTGAAAGATTGATTTTGATCTCACAGTGAGAACTGATGCACAAAGGAGGATAGAATCAATCCTTACATTTACATTTATATTTTAAAGAATAATTTGTGATGACATGATGATAATATAAATGCCCATCTCTAAAATAAGCCCCTTTCCTATTTCTACTGAAGGAATAAAGCATAGGTTTAACCCTTACTACAACCATATATATTGCAGCTGGCCTTTGTATCCAAAATATCACCCCAAAAAGCAAGCAAACCAAACAGAGCCACACTGGATTCCCAAGAAAAGAAAATGAGTGTTTGCCAAAGACAGGAAGACTGAGCTTGAAAGACCACAGCTTTTTTTCTTTTTTTAAATGAGACTTACGAGCCATGAAGTAAAAACAAAATTAAAGTTGTAAATAAAAAGGTAATAAACTGTCTCTTTCATTGGATACTTTGGTATATGTTTCTTATCAGTTGCCACATTCCGCCAGAAACAACTTTACAGATGTCCTAAAATACCAGCATGCAGCATGTGGATCTGGTAATACTTTTTATGATGGAGTGTTCGGCCAATTGGCATTTGTCCTCTACACTAGTCACCATTTTTCAATCCTGAGTAACAATTTGTTTAATTTGATTGCTCCTCAGAAGGCCCTACAACTTAACTGACTTTACGAATCACTTAGATTTATTGCCAATTGCAGCTTGTTGTTTTCTAATAACCATTTGTCCTTCCTTGAGCAGTCAGAGATTTTTGTGAAGTATTCTGGCCTAGGTATTTGGAAATGAAAGAGCTACACAGTATTCAGGTGTAAATGTGAGAATGATATTGATATTCTTCAGCATGGCATGAAATTGGAAAGAAATTAGCTAGCAAATGAGTCTTTTTTACTTTTTTTTTCCCATTAATCCCTTGCAATTAATACAGGTATTTTTATCCTTGTAAATTTATCCCAGTCTATGCTTACTTCTTATAGTATAATTTACTTCTTATAACTAACCTATATTCATCTGAGTCAACACTGAAGGCACTGACACAGATGAACTCAGAATGCTAGCACATGCTTCTGCATAACTTGATCCTTGCTCACAAAGTGCGCAGCCCACAAAGATACTCACGGATGTTGCAGCGTGCCCCGTAGTACCCCAGGCGGCACATGCAGTTGCCGGTCACTGGGTGACATTCCTCATTCTCAGCAGAGCACTGACATACTTGGTTACAGTTCTTGCCATACGTGCCTGGTGGACAAGCTTGGGGAAGAGGAAATGTAAACCAATAAATTAAATTTGTCTTAGTAAATATAGAACACAAACAAAGCTCAAGCTCAAATTTATTAAATAAAAGCCCTGCCTAAAAAATGATGCTCTCCTCTGGGACTTTGGATTTATTACATTTACTTGGGGGTTACTTCACTGCTTGATTTTGTTTCGTTCAGTCAATTTCTGCCCAACTGTCAAGGGCAAGATACAATTTTCTTGTCACTAGAAAAATCATAGGGAAATGTCAGGCAGAATTGACTAAAACAGCATAATTCACAAGGGATCAGGCATGTGCATAAAGACATTCTACCTTTTGCAGGGAGTTTAAACTTACAAAGCTGCCGTAGCACCAGCATCTTTACAGGTTTCTTTTGCCCTGTTGACAGTCTTATTGCCTAGAGGTTTTGGACATTCCACAGCTAATTCTTGTGTTTCATTAAGTTGCCCTGGTTGTGGGTCAGGATTTAACAGTCCTTTAGTGGATGATATGGGACACCAATGTCAATTCTTTTCATTCTTTTTTGCTGTTGTTTTTGTTTTTGCTAAAGCAGTGCTAGGCAAAACATTGTAAGGAAGAACAAAGTCAAAATTATGCAGCTGGGGTCACTATTTTCAAAGCCAGCTCCAGACAGGCAAACTCAACACTGAAGAAAAAACAGATAATGACATTTCCATGAGCTCTGACAGCAGGAATAGATGGTCTCTCATGGGGACAAGGCCAACAGAAAGAAGAGCTGGGGCTTTACTCATGGCACAGTAATGGCTGCGGGCTGGGCTCTGCAATCATCTCCTTAGCCTATTTTGATGCAGTTTAGCCGCCAGCTTCTCCCTGCCAGCCTGTGAGCTGCAAACCTAGAGAAGGCAAACCTGGCAGCCCAAACTGTGCCAGGCACAGGCTCAGAAGTGGACAAATCATTTGGGTGAGTGACAAGCAGCGCTTGCCCATCTTCACTGCTGTGAGGCTGGTATTCTCTCCCTCTTCAGGCATTGTATCATCAGGCTTTTATCTAAGAAATTAGTTTCTTAATTAATTTACAAGGGAAGTATTTGTATTCTGATAACGAACTTACTTTTCTCACAACTGTAGCCAGTGAATCCTGGAGGACATCCACACTCACCCGTCAGGTGATGGCAGGGTGTACCTATGGGACACCGGCACCTCTGGGCACAGCCCACACCATAGCGGCCAGGCAAGCAAGCTGCAACAGCAACAGGACATTGCAAAGTTAGTCCCTCCAAAGGATCTGCTGCACCCATTCCCATGAGCACTCCCAAACCAGCCCCACAGAGCAATGCAGGAATGAAAGGATCCTGTCATCAGCTCTGGATTTGGGAGTAAGGTACATGCCGACCTGAACTTCCTTCCGTAAATGCCCAGCGGACACTCACGTCTGTCACAGTGCCTCCCTCTCCATCCCTTTTCACAGTGACATGCTCCAGTTTGATGGTGGCAGGACAAGCCGTGTATGCAGTCACATTGCTCCTCACACCATTTGCCAAAAAATCCCACGGGGCAGACTGTGAGGAGAAGCAGAGAAAGCAATAGTTCTTCCCGCTACATGGAAAGCATCTGTCACTGGCAAATGAGCCAATATTGTTCTTCTTGCACATGGTGATGTATATTTAGAAGACTGAATGCCCAGAAAACATAGTTGAAAATATATTCAAAATATATTAAAAAAATTAGGATTGGCTATTAATGATTCTGCATGTGAAAGCTTGTAAAGACTTAGTCCTAGTCAAGAGTACAAATCCAGATGGTGTCTATACAGATGACAATGCCATTCACATTTACATGGTTATCCACAACGGAACAGATGTTTGAATGGTGAAAATATGCTGTGTCCACACACTGCTTTCCACCTCACAGGTCTTGGAAAGTGATCAAAGAGAAAGCGAGGCCTAAAGAAAAGGAAGGTGGGCACTGCAAAGGCTTTACAGGCCATGCTGGTATTTGAGGTTCCATGAGTCCTCCACACTGCAGGAGACATCAGAAAATTGCTTGTGGCTTGCAAAAAATCACAGCATGTCAATGCCAAAGCTGAAAGCCCATTTCAAGTCATCCGATATCTACTGCTTACAAGATTTCTATTTCAGGGATTTACATGGCCCTAAACTCACCAGATAGCTATGTCAAATCTGGGCAATCTGGACCACATGCAAGATTGGTACAAACTGAACTGTCACAGTCCAATTTGATGAGCTCCCCCTCAATGGCCCATAGAGGTACAGCAGCATGTGGCTGATCTGGCAAACTCTCCTTACAGCTCACTCCCTTTTACATGTTCTTCGTTGTGCCCATAAGGTAGAGTAATACCTTCATTTTCTCAGCAGGCAGGGAGCAGAAGGCCCAGAAAGCCAACTGTATCCTGGGCTGCATCAAAAGGAGCGTGACCAGCAGGACGAAGGAGGTGATCCTGCCCATCTACTCTGTTCTTGTGAGACCTCACTTGGAGTATTGTGTGCAGTTCTGGTGTCCTCAACATAAAAAGGACATGGAACTGTTGGAACAGGTCCAGAGGAGGGCCACGAGGATGATCAGGGGACTGGAGCACCTCCCCTATGAAGACAGGCTGAGGAAGTTGGGGCTGTTCAGCCTGGAGAAGAGAAGGCTGCGTGCAGACCTCATAGCAGCCTTTCAGTATCTGAAGGGGGCCTATAGGGATGCTGGGGAGGGACTCTTCATTAGGGCCTGTAGTGACAGGACAAGGGGTAACGGGTTCAAACTTAAACAGGGGAAGTTTAGATTGGATATAAGAAGGAAATTCTTTCCTGTTAAGGTGGTGAGGCACTGGAATGGGTTGCCCAGGGAGGTTGTGAATGCTCCATCCCTGGCAGTGTTCAAGGCCAGGTTGGACGAGGCCTCGGGTGACATGGTTTAGTGTGAGGTGTCCCTGCCCACGGCAGGGAGGCTGGAACTAGATGATCTTAAGGTCCTTTCCAGCCCTAACTATTCTATGATTCTATGACATAAAATGATTTGGACAAGGGCATGTATACACAGATGGGTAGAGACCTGCCTGTGGTGCTTCTAATATACTCGGTGAGTGCTCACACCAGCATTATCTCTTATTGCCCTACACTGGAAAATTAAGATACAAAATAGAAAATGACTTCACATTGTGGAGGCAGAAATGGCTGACTGCAGAAGAGTGTCCAAACAAAGCATCTGCAGAAGAAACTGCCCTTACCAACATCACAGTGGTCCCCAGTCCAGCCAGCATGGCAGATGCATTTTCCTGAGTGCTGTTCACAAACCCCATGGTGGCAGGTACAGTTCTGCTCGCATCCCTCTCCATACCTCCTGTCCCCACACTCTGAAATGAAACAGGGGACACTGACTGGGGGGGGGCAAGCTGGAAGGACTCCAGAAAAAACACACGCCTCTGAAATAGGCTGGTCCTAAAAACCTTCAGTGAAGGAGATTTTGAAACCTCCCTTAACAAAATTCTCTAGAGATAACTTGTTTTCCTCTTGGAGGTTTTACATTATTTTTTACTCCTCAAATTGAGCTCGTTACCTGTCTTCCCTGTCCCGAAGGGACAGAGAATAGCTTACTTCTCTCCTCTGTCCAGCAAGTTTCTAGCACCATTGTATATTCAAGTGCCAATGCCATATCTCCCCTCAAGTCTTCTCACCTCTGACTAAACAACCCCAATTTTTTCAGCCTTTCCACACTTGGTGCTCTCCAGCCCTCTATGCATCCTCTCCTTTTTATGAGCTGTCTCAAACTGTCATCAGAACTGAACTTCCCCACACAGCAACAAAAACAAGGTGCTGAAAGGATGGGGGACATGAAGAGACTCACCCAGCTCACATGCTATCCCCTTCCAACCCGGGGGACACTGGCACTTGCCCGTTACATGGTCACATGTCGCCTGGCTGTGGCAGATGCAGCGCTGGAGACAGTTTGCACCATACCATCCAGTGGGACAGGCTGTGAAGAGGAGGTAGGACAAAAGCCTTCCATTAAGAAAGTAGAAGAAGGACACAGGTTAAACGCAACCTTTCCCAGCTTACACCCCTTCTTGCCCTGGTGATCACGCAGACACTGTGGGAGGTACAACTGAGTAAAAATGAAGCCATGACTTGATAAGGAATAACACAGACCAATGTAAAACTGGTCTGGGAACAAAATAAGTGATTAAGTGAATCAGCTGTGACCCAGCAAAAGGCCTCAAGATTTTCTGTTCACACCTGCGAAAAACATCTCTTGGTTCCTACCAGCTTTCTCAGCACCAAGGAATGGAGTTACTGATTTCCTGTTTTCAGAGTTTCTTTGTAGTGCTCTTAAAATCACAACTCCTTTTCTAATTGATCCTGCTACCCACAGCTGGCTGATGACATTGCACATTTTACCTAATTTTAATTAAGCAAGTTTATTAATTCCCATCACAACCAATTCCTATGGACAGAACCTACTTTTTTTGGCACAAAAAATACACACCTCTGTCATGTCCTAGAATAACATCTTTTTAAGATGTTAACAGGAGCAAGTTCTTACTCTGCAAAAGCAGTTACCAGAGGACAGCTCACCCAGCCTCACACACACACCTACCACTTTACACTCAAAGAGAAAAAAAATTCCCAATGTATCATTAAAGAAAAAGGTTATGTTTGACAATGTCTTTGTATTTGACAACAGCTTTTTTAACTTTAGCTTTGGTTTTGTATTTGAGGCCTTCATGTAAACCAGAAAATTTTAGTGCTGACTCCAGACCGCAGCATACATAGTAGCATCCACAGCAGCATCCCTGGCTCTGTGGCACTGCTTACCTCCCAGGGGAGGCACAGAAAAAGCCTTCCGCATCAGGGATGGATTGAAGTTTCCCAGCTGCTTGTATGCAGGGACTAGGATGTAAGCCTCAGGGCAGCCTTTCTTTGCCAGCCTCTTTTCTTAAGGTTCCCTGAGTTGGGCTTGTATTTGAGTCACACGTATTGGTCTAATTGCCAAGGCTGGAAGTCCCAATGCCTTACACATGTTCTGGATTTAGGCTATGTCTGGAACAGTATACAGTAATGAGGAGGATCAGTCAGGCACATGGGACAGTAAAGCAGGCCACAGAAAAAAAAAAGAGGTTCATTTCAGTGTCATAATTGGGAGTTTTATGGACCTTTTCTCCCTTAATCAGCATTCAGAATCAGCTCTCTTTCCAGTTTATGACTGTTTCAGAGCTTGCCCAGAGAACCAAGTTCCTGCACCTAGCCCCTGCAGCATGGTGTCACAGATGTATTTAATGGACCAATCTGTGTAATTGTGCAGATACAAAACCAATGACAACACAGGACAATTAGCTGATAATTAAAATACCAGTGAAGCCCCCCTGAGTAGAAGTGTAATTTTTCCCTCCTGTAATTCTCCGGCAGGGGTTGAATTTCCAATTGTACCTTCTTGGCAGGTGGCCCCTTTCCACCCTGGGCTACAAAGCCACGTCCCAGTTACATGATGACAGAACGCTCCGTTGTGACACTGACATATGTGGCTGCAGCCTAGCCCATAGCTGTCCCCCTGGCAGGCTGCAACGAGAGAATTCTGTAAAACCCCATCAGGAAGCATCAAAGGAGGCAATGCACAGAGCAAACCTGAGACACAACCCAGCGACAGGGAAATTAGTTTGAAACTGGCTTCCAATGATGCACTTTTCACATCATACGAGTGTGTAAGCCCATATACGAACCATGCCTGACACTAAATAATGTGGCTTAAAAATACGTATCATATATGTTCTGAAGAGGTATTTCTCAAAGGGCAGGATTGCTTGGGTGATGGATCAGCTGTCATCCCCTGCCCTGCAGAATGCCTTTGTACTAAACTAATGGTCCAGCAGAACCGCCAGCTTGACAGCTCAGGCATTTATTTGCATCCTGGTAGGAGAACTGAAAACTTCATTGTTTTCAATGTTCATTTTTCACAGCTGAATGCCTTTGCTCACCCAGAGTCTCATTCTTTGGTCAAAGAGGGCTGATATTTTCAACGTGTTCTGTTAAGCAACTGGCTCCCAGGTGAAAACTTAGCCATCTCGCAAACGTACTCCTGCTGTAGCTCTGTTTTCAGTGCTGCTGCCTATGAAAAAAGGCAGTGATAAAAGTCCTCTAGTCTCTATTGCACTGGAGATTTGGATAGCTTTAAATGGTGGAAAACAGACAGTACTGCTACCCTGTTTTCTTCAGCTATCACCCCAAAAATACAAAATGAGTTGATGAAGTTGGATAGCTTCCTTATATGGTTTTTGTGCCTGCTTTACAGAGTCTCTCTTTCACTGGCATGAACATGTCAGAACCTCTTGTGTCTGCGGTACTGCTGGCATGCATTGAAGAGGCAAAAAAAGACCTGATCCCTGATCCAAAAGTGTTCTGCACTCACTGAATGTGACCATCTCCTAGGATCAGATGCAAACAATGACTTTTTACTGAAACCTCTATGCCTTTGAGGGTGCCAGAGTACAGAATAAGATGTAGGGCTGTTGGAGGACACATCCCTGGGGACTGAAGTGAGGCGTGAAACCATTTTGACCTCAGGGGTGAACTTGGTTGACATATCTGACCTGTTCTCAGCCCTGTTCTTCCCATCTGAGGACTTTCAGTTTCCCAATACAATTCTCACAGACACCTTTTCTCCCAGTACTTCTCTCTACGAATGTTCATTTTTGCCATTGGTTGGACCCATCCACACTGAAACCACAAGAAAGTGCAGGAGCTCAATCCCATCACAGTTAAAAGTTTGTTCTGCAAATGAGGCTTAGTTGCCAAGTTAAAAGTTCAGCCTGTCCTACACAGCTCTGGCTCGGTTTTGGGAGCAGAACTAAGTATTTCCACAATACAGACCAGAACTATATCATAACCAAGCCAAAGGAAAAACCAGCTCATAACCAGGTCCCCTGACTGGTTACTAGTGGTTTGTGTGAGGTTTTTGGAGTACGCATGCAAAGCTCTTGTTATTCTTACTGAGAAAACGCAGGAGTGTTCCAGTGAAAGTTCTGGTAAGAAAGCAGAAATTTCTGGAGAAGAAGATTTTAAATATTCTTTTGGGTGGATATAAACGTTTTTTAGCTTCTTGGTGGAACAGTCCTGATTATCAAAGTGCTTTTCTAAAGATTAAGATAACAAGAGATATATTGAAGCCATTTTATGGAGTTCCACAACTGAATGTACAAATATCCCTGGGCCTTTTCTTCTTTCTTCATGATAAATGCAAAGGAAAAAAGCGATAGAAAGGTTTAAATTATTAGACTTCTTCCTGCTTCAAAATTTTCCACTCAGTGCCTTTTCTGTGTAAGAGGAGGATTTATTCGTTTGCAGTCTTTTATATCCCTTTTTGTATGCAGAGTACGGAACACATAAAATTGGAGATTTTCTTCCAGACTGGAAGTCAACAGCCATCAAAAATGTTGGGGAGAACAGGGAAATAATGGGCACTAAGACACTACAGGGTGTCCAGAAGCTTTGATTTCATGCAGCTCCGGTGCATTATTCTCCCCAAAATAAAGCTTCAGCTTTAAAAGAACAGGGAATTTGCAAAGTCAGGTGCTCACACACTATGAAATGTCAAACCCCTGGTTATCAGTTCCCATGAGCAGAGACTCTGGCAGAACCAATCTTTTCATACTCATACATTTTACAGACCAGTTTGGTCTCTTCTATTTTACCACAGGGAACTGCTTCTGTGAAGATCCCTCTGAGCCCCAACAGCTCCAGAATGACACATTTTTACTACTAATAGAATCAGAGCAAAATGCAGATGCAGAATTGTGTTCAGCTTCTACAAATCATTCGCAACATGAGACTTTTTTTTTTGGGGGGGGAGGGGGTTAGGTGTTTTTTTGGGGGGTTGGTTTTTTTTTTTTTTGAGACAGCAAAATTTGGACAGGTTTCTATACAGAAAGGAAGGTGGTTACATCTCTGACACAAAGAGATGCCAGATGTCAAAACCTCACTTCTGTAGCACTAAGGCAATACAAAACTTTGTGAAACTGTTAAAACCCCACCAACAAATAAGCAACATACTTTTCCTAAACCTGTTTCCTGGAAACCTGAAATATCTTAGGCGGACACTCAACCCTCCCACCAGCCCCCTCCCCAAAATAAAAAAAAAATCACCAAACACGAACTTAAGCCAAGGCAGAGCTTGCTTCACAGATTTCATCCCAGATTAATATAATTTATTTATAAGCAACTGAAAAACATGGTCTTTTAATGGAAAGTGTTAGGCAGCTTCAGCAAAAGGCATTACAGTCCATATAGCCCATAATTAGATAGCAGTGTATAAAATGCACTGCATGGCTGGTTTAAGATCAATTCAAATCCCATGATGTCAAAATTATTCCTCAATATCCTCCAGCACATTGGCCAAAATCTGATTACTTGAACACGAATGCTGTCCTTCCAGCTGCTAGAGCTAGCAAGTCCTAGGAACTGGCAAGGTAAGTATTAAACACTAAACAAAGATGGAGAATGGTGGGCTGGCATCTCAGACCCATGGTTGCTTTATTCTGAGCAGCTTTGGAGTGGTGTGGCTGAGCTCCAGTCTTAAAATCAAAATGCAGACTCATCATTTAGCCATGAGAAAAAGAGGTTACCCTCTGCATAATTAAGCGATCTTGCTTTTTTACTTACCGGCAAAGGAGGCCTTGGAGGCTTTGGCACCTTCACCAGTGTGAAGAATAAATCAAGTCAGCATAAAGCTCTAATGGCTGCAGCACAAGAGAATAATTATTTTGTTTCAATTCTCACGAGTAGAGGGGGCATAGGAAGCTGTTGACAAAGAGCTACATTTCTTAATTGAATTTAATGAAATATGAAACAAAGCTTCTCATCCCTAACGCAGTCTAAGGAGCAGGGAAGGGCCAAGGTGATATATCGCTAATGCCCTGACTTGGCAGTAAAAATGGGCTGTGACCGAGAAGCAAACATTATACCTGTTCAGCATTACCTTTACTGCTCTGCAGTATGGCTGTAATGGCTCTGCATCTGAATTTATTTTATGGTCAGCTCACCAACACACACCCACAGGAGAGTATTGCCACCACAATTTTCAGGTGGTGAGAGATAGAGATCCAAGCTTTCCTAGGGGGGCCCACGAGGAGGCAAAAAGGACTGCAATGGTGGGATATTTTGCAGAAATATCTAAAAAGCAGAAAGATTCACCAGCATTGACCCTCCTGTAAATAAAAAAAGCAAGGGATTTTGGAGAAGCCTTTCAGAAGACAGGTTATGTTATGCAGTGGGGGAAAACGAGGGAAAAATATGAAGAGCAAGGGCCACCCTCAAACAGGGCTGATAGATTGTAACACGATGTATGGCTGGAGAATGGAATTGTTTCAATACAAGTAACATTTCTCCATTTCTGTTTACTAAATTAAACCAGTTTCCTACTGCAGAAATCTGCAACCTATAGATTAAAGAAATCCTGTGAAAGTGTTCACTAACAATGGAAGTTGGCTCCTTGTGGAGCTGCTTTGGACCCCAGGCCTACAAACAGCAGTCAGTTTCAAAAGAAAGTATAGATGATGACATCACCTTAAAGTGAAATGAGAAAGTTGAGAGGCTAAAACCTGAAAATCTTAAGCCCCCCATAATTGCTAAATATTGCAAACAGGCTCAGTGATATCCATATGTAATGCCATGTAGCTAAAGAAAGTAATTTAATTTGCCATGAAATTTCATGAACAGTAGCTCAGAAGAGGCAATCTTATATATGCATACACACAAACATACAAAAACCCCTTATTAGTGTAAAGATTGTAGGATAATCTATACTAGTGAAAATCTAGGTGTCTTTTTTAAAAACAACTGTTCTAAGAATTAGTTAAAAAGCTATTTTTGTCATGCTCAAACAAGTAGTCCCAGCTCTGATTTTTCCACATTGTGCATTTCTAACCTGTAACAATAAATGGATAATTAGATGAGATAGACCAGAAACAGTGATACAACATTTCCTCTCTTAATGTTGGACAAAAATAAAAAGCAGAGATTCGTCATATGGTAGAAGACAGCTCTGCTATTTAAAAACTGATGCTTATAATGTTTGACAAGTGCCAACAGCAGTTAAAAAAAAAAGTTGATTATTTACACAGCTACCAAGAATTATTCCCTTTTTGGGCATCTTTGGAAAGGAATGTGACCTATCTAAAACTGTACACTGGTAGGTCATCCTACATTCCCAGAAGGAACCCATGTTAGCACTGCAAGAGTTTGTGAACGAGGATAGTGAGTGCAGCCTATACATACACTGCTCGCAGGTCTCTCCCAGCCAGCCAGGGAGGCAGCGGCATGTTCCCAGGACACGGTCGCAGCCAGCGGCATTCTTGCACTTGCACACCTGGTGGCAGTCAAGCCCAAAGAATCCATCTGGACAAGCTGAAAATGCAAAACATTAATTTTTTAGCAGAGTTCCTGATTCTTTTCTGTATAAATTCTATCTCAGACATCTGAAAACACAGGGCACTGCTCATTTTCCATGGATGCTTTGTCACGTGTCACTGTGCTTAAGAGCCACAGTTACTTCAAGGGTTAAGCCTGCACAACTCTGCTAATGCATCATAAAACATGACCCATTTTACACAAGCAACAGATTTTTGCATAGAAACATGCAGCCGAGAATACATAAAACAGGAGAGAGAAAGGATCTGGATTCACACAAGCCAGTATCTGTGTTTCTGTAACTGACTGAGGACAACGGAAATAATTCAACATAATGCAAGACTATGGGGCGATCCGTGATGATCTCCCTGACTTCTAAAACGTAAAACTTATGCTCCCATTTACACTTTCCTAAAGATTTTTTTTAATAGGGAACATAAGCCATAGTGGTGTAATTTACTGCTGAAATGAACTCCTGGCAAAGAGAATGAATAGAGATGTCCAAGACAAATTAAATGTAGCAAAACGGCAGGGAGTTTAAGGAGCTCAGTACCTACATCTAGGACATGTAAGGAAGAGCAGACCCATAGATTTGATTTACATCTGTACCAGTGTTGACAGAAGTGAAAATAAGCCATCAGTGCTTGTCAGTGAGCTACATCATACCAAAATGCTGCTGTATTTGCCTAGGTGAGCAGCTCCATAGAGGAGCCTTCAACCCTGGAGGGAGGGGAAACCCCGCATCCCTGAGCCTCAGTTCTGGGCAGTGAGAGCCACCGAGGGAGCCCCGAGCCCTCGCCAGCCCTTGCTCAGGAGCTGCAGCTCCGCTGAGGGGAGCAGGGAGAGCCGGTAAAGCCCGACCCAGGGAGCAAGGTTCCTCGATTGTGTAGAAGACAACTTCCTTCTGCAAGTAATAAGAGGAGCCGACAAGGAGAGGTGCCATGCTTGACCTCGTGCTCACCAACAGGGAAGGGCTCGTTGGAAATGTGACTCTCCAGGGCAGCCTGGGATGCAGCGATTATGAGATGCTCGAATTTGAGATCCTCAGGACAGTGAGAAGAGCGTGCAGCAAGCTCACTGCCCTGGACTGCAAAAGAGCAGACTTTGGCCTCTTCAGGAACCTGCTTAGGAAGGTTCCATGGGATACAGCCCTAGAGGGCAGGGGGGCCCAAGACTCTTGGTCAATCACAGTATCACAGTATGCTAGAGATTGGAAGGGTCCTCAAAAGATCATCTAGTCCAATCCCCCTGCCGGAGCAGGAACACCTAGATAATGTTACACAGGAATGTGTCCAGGTGGGTTTTGAATGTCTCCAGGGAAGGAGACTCCACAACCTCCCTGGGCAGCCTGTTCCAGTGTTCCGTCACCCACACTGAGAAGAAGTTTCTTCTCAAGTTTAAGTGGAACCTCTTGTGTTCCAGTTTGTACCCATTACCCCTTGTCCTATCATTGTTTGCCACTGAGTAGAGCCTGGCTCCATCCTCGTGACACTCCCCCTTTATATATTTATAGACACTTATAAGGTCACCCCTCAGTCTCCTCCAAACTATAGAGACCCAGCTCCCTCAGTCTTTCCTCATAAGGGAGATGCTCCACTCCCTTAATCATCTTCGTTGCCCTGCGCTGTACTCTCTCCAGCAGCTCCCTGTCCTTCTTGAACTGAGGGGCCCAGAGCTGGACACAATATTCCAGATGCGGTCTCACCAGGGCAGAGTAGAGGGGAAGGAGGACCTCTCTCGACCTACTAACCACCGCCCTTCTAATACACCCCAGGATGCCATTGGCCTTCCTAGCCACAAGGGCACAGTGTTGGCTCATGGTCATCCTGTCGTCCACTAGGACCCCCAGGTCCTACACTGCTCTCTAACAGGTCATTCCCCAACCTATACTGGAACCTGGGGTTATTCCTGCCCAGATGCAGGACTCTACACTTTCCCTTGTTATATTCAAGGATCACCTGCTACAAGCTCAGGAGTGTTACATCCCAACCAGAAGGAAGTGCAGCAGGAGGGCCAGGAGACTTCCTTGGATGGATAAGGAGCTCCTGAGGAAAATTCAAAGGAAAAAAGAGGCTTATAAAAGGTGGAAGCAAGGACAGGCAGCCTGGGAAGAATACAGGGATGTTGTCTGGGAAGCTAGGGACCAGGTTAGGAAAGCTAAGGCCCAGTTAGAATTAAATCTGGCTAGGGATGTGAAAGATAACAAGAAGGGATTCTATAGGTATTTAGCAAGCAAAATACAGATAAGGGATAATGTGGGCCCTGTCTGGAAGCTATTGGGAGAACTAGCTACCCTGGATTTGGAGAAGGCTGAGGTTCTTAATGACTTCTTTGCCTCTGTCTTCACTGCAAGACCACACCACCCAAGTCTTGGAAGGCAGACACAGGGACTGTGAGAATGAAGACCTTGCGCCCACTGTAGGAGAGGATCTGGTCTGAGACCATCTTAAGAACCTAAACACGCACAGGTCCATGGGTCCTGAAGGAACTGGCAAATGAAGTTGCTGAGCCACTGTCCATCATATTTGAAAAATCATGGCAGTCAGGTGAAGTTCCTGAAGACTGGAAAAAGGGAAATATAACCTCCATTTTCAAGAAGGGGAAAATGGATGACCCAGGGAATTACAGACCAGTCAGTCTCACCTCTGTGCCTGGCAAAATCTTGGAGCAGATTCTCCTGGAAGGCATGCTAAGGCACATGAAAATCAACAAGGTGCTTGGTGACAGCCAGCATGGCTTCACTAAGGGGAAATCCTGCCTCACCAATTTGGTGATTTTCTATGATGGGGCTACAGAACTGATGAACAGGGGCAAAGCAGTTGACGTCATCTAACTGGTTATGTGGTTTGATTGACAAGCTGGAGGGAAAGGATGCCATCCAGAGGGACCTTGACATGTTTGAGAGGTGGGCCAATGCCAACCTTATGCAGTTCAACCAAGCCAAGTACAAGGTCCTACACCTGGGTTGGGGCAATCCCAGACACAGCTGCAGGTTGGGCAGAGAAGAGATTCAGAGCATCCCTGAGGAGAAGGACTTGGGGGTGTTGGGAGTGTATATATATAAATATATATATACGTGTGTATATGTATATACACATATATATATGTGATATGTATGTATGCATATGTATGTGTGTGTATTTAGATTACATAAGTTCATAGATAGAATCATAGATAGAATCATAGAATGGTTTGGGTTGTAAGGGACCTTAAAGATCATCTAGTTCCAACCCCCCTCTAGTCCCAACCTTCCACTAGACCAGGTTGCTCAAAGCCCTGTCCAACCTGGCTTTGCACACTGCTGGCAGCCACAGCTTCTCTGGGCAACCTGACCAGGGCCACACTGCCCTCACAGTGAAGAACTGCCTAATATCTAATCTAAATCTCCCTTCTTTCAGTTTGAAGCCATTCCTCCTAGTCCTACCCCTACATGCCCTTGTAAAAAGTCCCTCTCCAGCTTTCTTGTATGCCCCTTCAGGTACAGGAAGTCTGCCTAAATTATATTAAATGTTAATAAATTTGTACCTATATGTCATCCTTTCCAGAGAAAATAAGCAGTTACACAATAGAACTGAGCTCTCTGTCCTTGTTCATTTTAAATTTATATTTAAACCCCCATCCTTGCACTTCTACCATGAAATCAGAATGACTGGCTTCCCAATAGTCTTATGATAATTACCATCATATACACTACCCAACAGACCCCACACTAATTTCACAGCTCTTTACCAGATCAGAACACCACCATTACCCATCTGGATCTTCCACTGTTGGACTCTGTCCAACTCTTTTCTTGCCTTATGTCTTCTTCACACCCATGGTCTTTGTCCCAGTCTACTCGTACTGCCTCTCCCACAAATGTAAATTCAGCTTTTTAGCAGAAAGCACAACTGTCTGCTTCGGCTACAAGTGTGGGAGAAATTTAGTATCCATAGATTGAGGCAAACTTGGACTTTCAGACAGGGATAGCAATAGTGCAACACACTGTAACATCCGCTTTGGCGTTTCTACTCTCCAAACTCCTGCTTAACATGTGACTACATACGAGTGCTTCATTTCAGCTATTCAAATCAAAAAGCTCTTCCCTTCATCCTGTCCAGACTGCAGCTTCTTCTTTGGCATAAGAAAAATTTCAGGCTTACACCACTTTCCAGGTATGCACTGTCTACAGAAACAGAAGTGTGCCTCATCCCAATGTAAAACTGTAACGCATTTGCCAGCCTCTACTCATTTCATACTGAGGACAGAGCTGCTATCAAGTTGTAAGAAAGAGACATCAGCATGTGGTTCCAACCTTTCTGTCCTTATTTATTATGCTTCAGTAGCGTGTAGAGCACAGCATACAAGAAAGGACTTTTACTTAACCCTAGGTGACTTCAAAGGCTGACAAAGTTTTCCATTGTTTAATGCAGGAACTACACAGTGTTGTCGGCTATTGATAGACATGCACAGTATTTATTTTTCCTTATATCTTGTTAAAGCATAAATCTTGCTGGGCTTTCTTATGATAATGATTAACCACTGAAGTTCTAAGAAAGACGAACAGTCAGACTGTCCTGCAGACAATGCTGATTTAGGCAGAGGCTCAAATGCAACCTTTTAGTGCTGCACTTCACAAGGGCTGTATGTTGCTTATATTAATGCATCAGTTAATAAACAGACTGTAGGAAAAGTTCAAGACTCACTCCTGCTGCCTCCAGTTTGTGGGCTAATTGTCTGGCATTTTGGATATTCAGTCAGATCAAGCAGAGAGCTGGATAATTCTTCTGTTGCCCTGATTCTGTAACTGGACACCTGCCTTAGGCCATACAACACGTACCAGAAACAGTGGGGAACAAAATTAAACAAAATCACAGTGTGGTGAAGGCAACTGCAATCTTCAAAATGGGAGCAGCAGATGCTCAGCATTTCACAGAATTAAATCGATTATAACAATTGCCTTCCCAAACAGGAGCAGCCCTGGCACAAGGCAGGGTGACTTGGCTGGCTCAGTGTGGTATGGCACACTTCTAACTAATCAATATTAGATTTTGTAAGGTCCTGTCTTCTCCTTGGACTTTGAACTTAGAAGGCTGCAACAACTTCAGTTTCAGTATTTCTGTGATGACAGAAAAGTCCTTCCCAGCCTTGGGGTGAACCGTCAGCAGTATGATAGAAGCGTAAGGCAACTGCTGTGCCAGGTCTCAATCTCTGTATTATTCTCTGCAAGGCACAGAGCTTGGCAAACGTGGGTGGATTGCCAAGAGGACAGCAAAAAGCACATCCCTGCCAGAAGGAAATGCTGTTATTCTGAGAGCCACTAAAAACAGAAGTGCTAAAGCTCCCCAGAGAAGAGGTGCCAAGAATGCCAAGAAGGCTCACCAAGGGCAAACCACCCACACATTTTCCTCCCTCTTCATCTTTTGGAATCAGCTGAACAGTTCTGGCTGAAACTTTCTACGTGAAAAGGTAACACTGGTCAGCTCAGAGCACTCTGCCTGCTGGAGAGAAAATGGGTAGAAAACAGGGTTTTACAAAAGGTAAGCACTAAATTCTACTCTCCCCTCTACCATCTTCTTTCAGGAATTTAAAAAGATAAAAATATCCCACGTGAGTAATTTGAATGCTGAGACTTGTATTTTTTTTCCCCAGTGATGTCACCCAAGCTTCTCCATGTTCTTCACACCTACTTTGGTGAAGAGTATTTAGCCTCTTTGTCCCCATTTTGATTCCTGCTGGAATTAACATATTTAAAGCATAGCACAGGTAACTGCATCACTTCTCCAGTAACAAATAATAATAATAATTAAAAAAAATAAACTTGAAAAAACAGAGTTCACTAAATAATTTTAAAAGGGGACATAATTGAGATGCCATAAATTATGAGGCAAATTTTGCAGCAGAACCTTGAAAAGGGTATTTATTTTGTATAATAATTCCTGATAAGAATGAGAGGGAAACAGCAAGCAGCATCTCATCAATGGAATTTGCTACGTTACTGGTGAGGCTGTGAAGCACCTTCCTTCCCATCAGAGGGCAGTAGCTGCCTATGAGAACTGCCACTTCCCTCCATCGTAGCTACAATGCTACCTCTGTAAACTGTCCGATAGGCAAAATAATTGTGACTTTGGTTTAATGATCGTCATTTGTAGACTCTTCAATCATTTACACTTAAATAACTTTCATAATGTCTGACTATGTGCTGCTTATGTTGCACTCAAGACACTATTTTATATGATCAGTGCAATGATGCAGCATGACAGTAAACTCCTTTGGCGATGCAACTCACAATAATGTATCTAAGGAATCCAATCCAATCTTTCCAACACTTTACCAAATGATCAGGTAATAGAAAATGATCTGTTGGCTTTATTAAAGTTAAAAGTATATCTGTTCTTAAAGAGTTCCTTTGGGATGATTCACAAATCCATGTTTTTTCCCTAAAACATGTCAGAGAGGCACTAGGCACAAGCAAGTGTAAGGCATCTGCCTGTTCAGTGTTCAGACAGTAGAACTCTGCTTAAACAGAGTCTTCATAAAGATGTGATTCATAAGGAATCTAAGGAATCTTAATCTCAAGGAATCTTAAGCATGTACCTCATTTTATCTACTTTAAAACATGTGCCCATCGTTAGGCACCTAGCAAATTCTTCCGGAGTTTGGATGGAAGTGCACATTTCAATAATGTCCTCCAATTTAGTTCAATGGTTTATTTATATCAGGTGCTGTAAACTGCAAAACCAACTCTGTGCGTAAAAAAATCCCATCTGCATAAACCCGAAAGGGACTAGAGGGAGCAGCAGTACCTTTTTCACAAAAGGTTCCTGTCCAGCCTGCTGTGCAAGTACAGGCTCCGCTCACGTGGTCGCAGGCAGCTCCGTTCTGGCACTGACAGCTGTGCTCACAGCTCGGGCCAAAGCTTCCCTCAGGGCATCCTGCAGCAAAGGAATCAAAACCAGATGACAGGTTAATTCTGGAGCAGATCATGGATCAATGAGGAATTTTTAGATACATGGGAATCCTTACTATTTCCAAAAGAATAATCCAGGCATAATGGTAATCCCTTAAAACTGATGTGATTAAGTGTTCTCCTTGGGGTCCAAGTAAATTGGGCTGTTTTTATTACAGTGTATTTTAGAAGAACGCCACAGTGTTGAAAATCTAAATTCTGCACAGAAAACTAATCTCATCTGATAGTTGCAAAGCCAGTGACTTCCCAGGTTCTGCTTGATGACACTTTGCACACTGGTCTGGAGTCACGTATGTGCGCATCTCCTCTGGGACTTCACCAGCCAGAGAAGGAAAGCTCCCAGCTTTTGTGCCTCCTTTGGAGGCCCTGTCCTCTGTTTTCCTGCAAATCCTCTTTGCCCAGAAATCTGGAGAAAATATGAATTGTAGTAGAATCCTTCAGAAAGCTCCACATTGAATGCTGCGTGTACTTTGTTTTCAGGTTCTGCTTAGAAAAATCAAGCAAAGCATTACATCTGGAGGACAGATTAACAATTACATTTCTACAGCAGTAATATAGGGAGTTTTAAAAGATTTGCATGGTATTCACTATTGGAAGAAAGAAAACAACACTTGAGAATGAAAATAATTTCTTCCAGGATTATAGGAAAACCAATTAAGAACAGGACCAGTTGTGTAATTCATGTTAGACATTTTGGACAGGCTGAAATGTATATATATACTTGGCTAAACACAGTATTACATGGCCTCTACTCATGTCTGAGGGTTTTGTGAACTCCTTTCTAAATGAGTTACAGAGATTATTGCCAGGTCTCTCTTAAAAATGTATGATTTAGCATTTACATCAACAAAGTGAATTTCAGGCAATCTGGAAAGAATTACAGAGAACAGAGAACAATGAGGGTCCTCAGAGACAGCTCTTTATCTGGAATAAATGGATGGGTTTGGTGTTGCCTATTTGGTGCTATAGGTGAGCAGTGATTGGAGCCAGCATGAATGCAGTTGCTCCTGCAGCTTAGGGACCCTATACTAACTGATGCCAGCCCCTGGGTCTCTTATAGGAGCTATAGGCTGGGATGGGAGACAGGATAGCAAAGTACCTTGAGTACCTCTTTGCTTTCAATCATCTGTGTCAGAAAACGGGCTGTTTTTTAAATGTGGAGTTGTTCGAATATATTTTTTGCACTTACAGGTGAAGTTCAGTGCCAGGATGGAACCAATGTAAAACCCCATTTGCATCACCTCCTATTCCCAGAGCTGCAGGTCACCAGGCAGCATGCTCCCTACACTAGTTTAATGAGTAAATAGATAGGAGTGCACTTGTGCCTTAAAAGCTTCATCCTGCTCAGTGTTTACATTTCACTTGAAATTTCAGACAGAACCCAGAGAATCTGCGCAAGGAAAATAGTATTCCAGTGCAGAAATAGGGGTGGGGCTCTCAGCTGAGATTTCTACAAACCTACAGCGTTAAACCTTGAGGTGAGACTTTCAAGGTAACGGCAGAGGAGCAGTACACTTAACAGATGATTTTGCAGTCCACATTACAGAAAATCTGCCTCCTGCTTGAGCAGGCATGGGCTGCTGCAGTGTGTACTGAGATACATCCACCCCGCTGGAGAACCTGAGCTGCCTGCAAAGCCACGAAGAGCCCAACCTGCAGCAAGAGGCTAGAGATGCCCCAGGAAGAAAGGAGCTCTCCAGACACAGTAAAGATCTTGCCTCAAAGGCAGCATAAAATGTTTCGGGAAGAATTATGCCTTTCATAATCTTGCACACACACATATATGTATGTACATATATGTATATACACACACAACTAAAGTGGGATAAAAAGCAGACTGAATAAAACAGGAAACCCACAGACAGACTACTAGAGGTTGCCAGATGTTTTGTCAGTGACAATGCCTTCCCTGCTTACCTTACCAGAGAAGATTACAACCAGTTCTTTGGCTACCTTCTGTCTGCAGGGATGCTATTTTGAGAGAGGTCAAGAATGAAAGAGAAGTGGAGCTAGCACCTTTTTCTCTGGGAGCTGGTCTTTCCAACGAACTCTCCTTCCACTCCCTCTGTGCCAACAACAACAGGAGCTGTAAGATCAACTTTCCAAGATTCTTGTCTTTGGTCACTGCTGCTCCAGATTGCTTTGACATTCCTGTATGACGCCAACAGTTAATTCTGCCTACACTACTGAGACCCTGCTAGTTATGTATGTGCTACTGTAAGACTGTTAAACTAATAAATAGAATATTTATTTTATTTAACAACTTAATATTACTACTACTACTACTAATAATAATAATACCTAACTATGCAACTTATTGCCACAAGATGAAGTAGATACCAAAAGTCTGCATGGAATCAAAAAGGAAATAGGCACATTAATTAGAAAAACACCCCAAGCTGTATTAAATATAGAGATACTGCTTCTGTCTCAAGAAGCTCCTGAGTGGCAAACTGATGAAACCTGGTGTCCTAGGTTTAGCTGTGAGAGGTTGTTTTCTCCTTCCTAGTAGGTGGTGCAGTGCTGTGTTTTGGCTTCAGTCTGAAAACAGTGCTGACCACACACTGATGTTTTAGTTGTTGCTAAGTAATACTTATGCTAATCAAGGAGTTTTCAGTCTCATGCTTTGCCAGGCAGGAGGGGAAGCCAGGAGGAAGCAGAGACAGGACACCTGACCCAAACTAGCCAAATGGGTATTCCATACCACAGCACGTCATGCCTAGTATATAAAGTGGGGGGGAGTTACCCAGAAGGGCAGATTGCTGCTCAGACCAGGCTGGGTATCAGTCAGCAGGTGGTGAGCAATTGTATTGTGCATCACTTGTGTTTATTGCTGTTTTTTCCTTTCCCCTTTTAATTTAAATCCTCTCCCCTTGTTATTTCCCTTATTAGTAGTAGTAGTAGCAGTAGTACTTTTTATATTATACTTTAGTTACTGGGCTGTTCTTAACCCATGGGATCTACATTCCTTCAATTTTCCTCCCCATCCCGCCTGAAGAAGGAGAGGGAAAGGGGGAGTGAGTGAGTGACTGCATGGATCTGAGTTACCAGCTGGCCTTAAACCACAACAGTTCTTTGTGGTACCCAACGTGGGGCAGGAAGGGTTGAGATAACGACAGATCTGACCAGAGTGCGTCTAATCACAATAAGCATTCATTGCTTTGTATTGTCAGTTGTCATAATATTGATTTATTTTCTCTCAGAGTTGTTGCACTTAGTCTCACAGTTTCTTTATATCACACCTTACATACAGCCATGATTTGCTGTTTTAGTGTTTATCGGCTTTTTGGGAGCCTGGGCTTAGGTTCTCGTTTTGCCGTACTTTATAATTGCTTATGATACAATAGAATTATTGATCATTAAACTGATCTGGTATGTGTTCTCAGCATTGCCATTGCCTATGTAATTTGGGAGCATGCAATGGGAATTATTAATAGTTACACTTGGTTTCTTCCTCCCTTGGAGGGCCAACCTATGGAGGAGACATCATCTCACATCTTCCCCTTCCCCACGAGGCTATTTACAATGGCATTTATGAATTTCAAAGACTGTGAATATCCTTTGAATACCCTTGAAACCAGCCTGCTTCTTTTGCTGGGAACCATCATTTTGTTCAGTATGGTTCAAGTCTTGTCTAAGGTTAAACAACTGTCTAATACCACCAAGAGATCTTCCCTGAGGCTAGACAGTCATGAGTGGCAGGGTGTGTGGGACAGTATGGGCAAATATCTAGGCCACTGCATCCCTCCAGTGCTTTGGAACTTCAACCCTGAACAAGAGCAAAATCCATAAAAACTAGTGAACACTTAAAAAAGGCATGCTGTCATCCTGGCAATACCAGGGAGATACAAATAACTGCAATGTGCTGGGACTTGGCCTATGCCTACAGAGTTCTGCTGAACACTACCCAGTACCCTCAGGTGGAAAAGGACGTCTCTGGATCTAACGGCAAAGCAACAGATACCATGGCTACTCCATCCCTAACAATGAGCACAGCAGCTATCCCAACCCCAGCAACAAGCACAGCAACTACTCCAACTCCAACAACAGACATTGCAACCCCTTCAACTGCATGGAAAGATACTGCAGTCACTCTAACCCCAGCTGAACCAAAAGACCAATCTGTGCTGCTATCAGTTGCCCCTATATGCAAGAGGAAATTGAAACAAAAAGCAACTCGTGTAGTGAAGCAAGATGAAGATTTCATGCCAGAACTACAGGGGGCAACACCAGAAAGAGAGGAATCAGTACAAGAAACAGAGGAAGAGGCAGAACAAGAAGTAATTTCTCAATCCCTGTCCTTTACTGAGCTGTGGAATATATGAAAAGATTTCAGCCATCTTCCAGGGGAGCACATCATCACCTGGGTGCTCTGATGCTGGGACAACGGGGCCAACAGTCACAAACTAGAGGGTAAGGAAGCCAAGAAGCTAGGATCACTTGCTAGGGAAGGGGGAATTGACAAAGTGACTGCAAAAGAAAAAAGAGTCCTCAGCCTCTCAAAGCAGCTCTTGTCATCTGTGAAAGAAAGGTATCCCTGCAAGGAAGATGTTATATGTTGCCCAGGCAAGTAGACCATGACAGAGAAAGGCCTCCACTACCTGAGGGAATTAACCATTCTAGAGATGATCTATCATAAGTCAGATGATACACCCATAGATCCAGATGAAGTCAAATGTACATGACCCATGTGATGGAAATTTACATGGAGCCATCAGTATATGACAACTCATTGGCAACGAGTTGGGTGGATGCAGCACCACCAACAGTGGATTAAGTGAATTGTTTGAAGACAATCCTGCCCCTCCATCATTTCAGCTGTGGAAAAACTCCTCTCCAGGAGTTCAAGCAATTGAGAGACAATATACCCAGCTCCCCACGTGTACAGACCCACATCTCGGCTATTAACAGTAAGTGCCCTATTGCTCGAGAGGGAAGATAAAGGAGGTACAACAACAGTGAATGCGGATCCTCCAAAGAAAGTTACTGTTCCAGACTCTGGTGGGCAGTTTCCCAGATGGAATGAAAGAGTTGATTTTACTCTGACTCTTATGAAAAGGAATTCTAATCCAATCCATTTGTACAAGAAGTAAGTGAAGAAACTTAAGATCACTATTAGAAGGGACCTGCCCACAGCCAGGTGGAGGAGAGGGACAATCAGATTTACTGGACTGTGTGGATCAGATGCCCTGGCACATCAGTCCCACAGAAGTCTAAGGCTCTAGCAGATACTGGTGCACAGCGTACCCTGATGCCATCAAGATATCATTAGGTAGAACCTTAAACCATGATACCTGTGAAACATATCAGAAATTAATTATATTATAGATATCTGTATGTTTTTATCCTCTTAAGGCATCTGCTATTGGCCTCTGCTAGAGATAGATTAGTGGAGATCATGGGCCTCTGGTAAGACCATTGTGTATTTACAAAGAAATAGTGCAGACCTAAAACCAGATAAATAAAACCAATATGGAAACTTTAATAGCACAAGCCAAATAGACAACACTCCTATCACTCACATGAGGTCTTAACATTAAAAATAGATGCTGAGTCCAAAACAAGTCTGAAAATAACTTTCCTGGAAGCAAAATTAGGGAAACTATCAAACCCAAATGAAACCTGAGAGCCCTGTGATGTGCTGGGCAGACCGGAGGCAGCACAGCCTGGAGGGAATTATCAGGAAAAACACAATTTCCGCTGCTTGGTTTTGAAAATTCCTTGTGTTGACAAAGTGGCAACTTACTCCATTCACAGTGTTTCCCAGTGAATCCTGGCTCACAGAAGCAGGAGCCAGTGACTGGATCACAGCTACCATCGCTGTTATTGCAGACACACGTGTTTTCACAGCGCTGTCCCCAACGGCCACTATTGCAGGCTGCAATGTAAAAAGATATTTACATTAAGAAGCAACTTTAAGTTTGCCTAATGGATTATTTTACATCTAAATAAGACCAGAAAAATGCAAAATGACCCCTTAAGACACAGGAGTTCTGGACTAGGCTCTCCACTGCGGCATGGGGCACAAATTGATAGAAATAAATACATTTTTGCCAATTTACTTCAGCAGATATTATACCATCCACAAAAAAATAATCATTCACAGCCAATCCATATCAATCATTCCACAGTCACAAGTGTATAATTTCATGGAAATAAAACATCAGCTATTGACTCACTTCGCAAAAATCTGCATAATCAGAATAGCAAATGGGTAAAACTAGAGAGATTTGTGAGCATCCTCCATATTTTCCTCAAAAATACTGTGAAATGCAACAAGGATACAGACAGAGAAATTTCACAATTTTATTAAAGCAACTTCCTGTTTTCATTCTAAAAATCACCTAACACTGACACGATTATGACAATGTACCGTAGCATCTCCTTCCATTCTTGCAAGGATAAAGATGAAAGTTCCAATTAAGGCAACAGTAACCTGGTTCTGGAGTTGGGCATCCATTTCAAGCCCGGTCTGCAATAGTTGGTAGCACTGCCTTACCGAGACATCTTTGCAAAACAACTTTTCTCATATCTTATCCTGAATAGAAATAAAAGCTTTTCTTTGCCAGGTCTCTTAATTCTTTACACAGCCTAGGGAGTCATGAAAGCTATCCAAATGACTCTACATGTTACCAACTGATTTGATTTTTAAAATATGTATATTGGTGGAAAATGCAGATTTTCCCAGAGTGTTCTTCAATACTGAGCCTGAGAAGCCAGGTCCAAAGCTTATTTCTATCAACACTAGCAATTAATTTACATGATTTTATGTGTTTAAGACCAAGTTTAGAAAGAGGTTTGCATTCTGTTGGCTTCTTGCAAGAGGGATCATAATAAATCAAGCAGAAAAGATATGAAAGAGGAAAAGAAAAGAATCAAACAAGATCACTTAACATTTATATGGTGCTATCTAAAAAGGGCAAATCTGCACTTTTACATGGCCATCAATATGGAGAGTGATGCTAAAGTAAACAGAAGGATGCTCTGTTCTTCCAGGGAACAGGATTTCTCCCAGCATTTATATTCACAAGTTGAGAAGTGACCTTAAGACACACAACTGTACGTGCCACTCACTTGTTGAATAAATCTCTAAACAAAATGAAAAATTGAGAATTAAACTTGAAACTAATCTGTGTTGAAAATGAAAACCAAAACTGTCAGTCAAAATGCTGTCAGGACAGATGGTATTAGGCAAAGGGATCCATAGCGTTAAAATAAGAAGTTATATCAATACTTTGTGCTTCATCAGCCATCTATTTCAATACTTTGAACCTAGATAATTAAGGATTATAACCACCCAGGCTGTGCAAACCCATAGACACACAATTTCAGAAGCAATAAGATTAGCAAAAGTATATTAAAAAACTGTAATAGACTAAGAACAAACAGAGCTGTTTTTTACATTTTAAGTTCAGTCCCTGGGAGATACCATGTACCCTGTAGGGTAAATACGCAGTTGACTTACGGTGTTTGCAGTCATGGCCAGTCCAGCCAGGGGAACATGTGCACTCTCCGGTGACATGGTGACATTGAGCACTGCCACTACAGCTGCATAACAGCAGGCAATTTTGTCCATAATAACCATCGGGGCAGGCTGAAAACAGATGCACCTAGGTAGTAACTCAGGCACAGACTGATCTTTTCAAACAAGACAGCAACAGCTTGCCCCTAAAACATGCATAAGCTGAACCTAGAAATCAAAGTGGAAAAATTAAACATCTGTAATTTGTATACTAGGTGTTTGGGGCCAAGTTCTGCAAAGTGGGAATAGCTTGAGTTGCTTTTGGTTACTTCTCCGGCACATCAGGATCAATCAGAGGAGCAAACCTTCATCAAAAGTGAATTTGTGACTAACAAGAAGACATGCCACCACAGAGATCTTGCATGAAGCAGTGCTATCCCTGAGAGCCTGTCTATGCCAGCACGACAACCATACTCAAAGTAGCCTTTAATACCCAGAGACTAGACAAGGAGCCATACCACAGTAGCACAGACCACTTGTGTGAGTATATTCCTATGGTCTCTGGTCAATCTGCAGAGAGAGCACTGATACTATTCCACCATCCTTAGTGCTATTTAATCCTGAAGTAGATATACCAAGGAGTGTTGCTGCAAGTATAACCCAAGAATGATGCGGTATGGGCCAACTGGTCAGCACCTCTTGCCAAGCAACCAGGATTGCAATACAAGTATTGTGCCTATTAAACATTGTCTTTCTAAAGACATATTGTCATAAATTAGGTCTAATGATAACATCAATTTGAGATGCAGTTTAGCTGGTCATCTGCATTAATCTGTATTCTCCTGTATTCTCCTTCTGGTAAATAATGTCAAATTCAACCCAGAGAATTCCTGAAGCCAAAAGGTAGTTTATCTTGGCTCAGTGTGTCTGACATAACAAGCATCTCACAAAAGAGCAAGAATGTAGAAATCAAATCATAACTTGACTGCCTTTTCATGGGGATGGCCAATGTGAGGACTTACATGTGGAACAGGATGCCCCACTGTAGCCTGGAGGACAATCGCAGGCTCCAGTCTCTGTGTTGCATTGTCCCCCGTTGGCACAGGGCTCACAGGAGTACTGGCAGTCTGGTCCCCACTGACCAGCTGGGCAATCTGGATGAAAAAAAGCACATAACATGTTCACAGTTCCATTTTCTGTTTCAAGGAAGTTACACATTTGTGCCATTACCTTGAAGAATTTAAAAATATTAGTAAAATTAAGCTGGATAAAGGATGGTTGTATCTTCTCTACAGACCTACAGTGCTGTCACAGTAAACCTGAGTCAACACGCCTCTGTAATGCAGCAGATGAGAACACATCTAAAAAAAGACCCAAAGTCTCTGTTCCAACTTCTGTAGTGGTGTGCCTGTGAGGCGAAGCCCAGGTCGCCATATAACTCCACCTCCTTCATCAGGTTCCTGCAGTGGTGATCCACAACCTGGGTCCAGACAGGGTAGATGCTCCTCAGGTGTGCAAGAGCCAGAGGTCTGCAAGCGGTAGAGGGGGAATCCATGGCGCCTTAGTAGTTTAGTATCCCTGAGACTTTTTTAATCCATTTACTTAGTTACCCACAGTAATGCTGCCCTTTTTAATTCCTTCTTCTGTTAACTTGCTGTTTTCCACAATAGCTGTCTTTGGCCAAGGCCCTTCAGCACCTTCTGAGGAACACTGGGTGCATATGGCAGCACAGTCCCAAGTTCTGCTCTGGGACTCAGAGGTGCTGCAATGCCTCAATATCTCTGCCCAACATGCATGAACACAGCTTAACATATAAATCACTATTATTAACTGGAGCAGAAAGGTGGCTCAGGGTAACTGAAGCATGTTCCCTCCTTTGCAAGCAACCCCCCGTGGTCGATGTCATGTGATCTGTACCAAGACTTACCCTTTACCCATTCTGCAAATGAAGCGTATTGCATTGCAGCAGTTTTGGTGGGAAACAGAGTCATTCCAATTCTTCTCACGTCTTCCAAAGAAAGACTTTCACTACCCTAGTCCAGCATCTAACACACCTTGCTCACATGTAGCACCAGTCTTCCCAGCTGGGCAAATACACTGTCCTGTCTTCGGATTGCATGGCGCTTCTCCACAGATGCACCTCTGCTTGCAGCTCACACCAAAACTCCCAGGCTGACAGGCTGGTCAAAAGAAACCCAAACACAGTTAGTATAAGGAAGCATTTCCAAGATTAGGAGGCACAACCAGCAGCAATTTCAAACTGAACTGTGCTGGTACAAAGTGATCAATGTTAGCATCAGTGTCTCATCAGCTGGTGGTCTGTAGTTAACTGCAGCAGAGCTCTAGAAAGTCTGCCCTTGAAGCTTTAAAAGGAACCACAGTTACCTGGACAAATGTTTGTTTTAGCAACTGGCCTCAGCCTTGTGCCTCAACCTTTGCAAGCAGGGAGACACAGTAGTTGCCAGGCTCCAAATATTAGTTTGGCTTCAGTGGGGAACTGCCAACCTGTACCAAAACCAAATGAACCCTTTTATTTGCAACTTCTGAACATAAGCTTCCTGAGTAAGCTTTCCCATCTGAAACATAAGTTTCCTGAGTAAGCTTTCCCATCTCAAGAGTACCTCCCAGGAAAACATGTGATGAGTACCTACATAAATGGCATTTTTCTCCATGAAACCCAGGTGGACATGGATGTTGGCAGACTCCTGTCTCATGATCACACAAAACATCAGTAGGACAGTTACACCTCAGTTTGCAACCAGCCCCATAAAATCCAGGCATGCACTCTGGAAAATGCAAGTAGACACACAACATATATAAGAAAAAGGAAAATTTAAAAGAACTGATGTCAGAAAATAATTTAGCAGAAACTTGCAGAAAATATAATATACATTTTAGAGGTGCTGATAAGGAAGCACAAATACTTATTAAACACTTGTGTGGACATTTCAAAGAGGTTACAGCTTAAATACAACCCATAAACAGAATGGCAGTGTACTTAAGGATATATTTAATTATAGCCATTACAGAATTACTCTTCTTATCTGTCTGTACCTTCTGCTGCTCTCTGCCTTGGTGCAAAGCCAGTGCTGGGAGAAGGATGGCCTCCCCCAGAACTATGCACATCACCAAGAATGCTAAAGATGCTAAATATCATCACTGTTATTCTCCACCAACCTCCTTCCAACAACTAGTGTCATAAATCTGACACATTCCTGCCTGCCCAGAGAGGAATCTGAAGGAAGAATCTTTATTGTGTTACTCCATTACTGTCTGGAGAGGGCTACTGAGACATGCAAACATGAATGTGGAATACAATTCTCTTTCAACTACCCCAAAAACTACAAGAGTAAGTTGAATTCAAAGACCCACAAACCTGAACTAGCATTACTGAAACTGTTTACAAATAACCCTGCTGCCATAAAAGAGTTTTTGCCACTTATTTACTGTCTATGCAGAAAAAGGAAAGAACAGAAGTGGTAACTTCCAGAGTCATTATTTAGGGCTGTATTAGAATTTGGTTTCTAGATTTCTGTTGTTGTTTGCTCAGGCTATAACTCCTGTATTCTTAAGCTGTATTTCTTTGATGTCCCCGTAAGCCCTGTGATAGCCAGCACTCATGGGTGTTTGATGTATGAAAAACCACAGACAAAATAATTAGCAAAATACTAGTATCAGTATCAGCAGCAACCAAACAAAGCAAATGAGAAATAATGCTGTGACAAAGGAATAAGCAGACACAGGCAATCTGGCTTTCTATTATACCTTTCTGACATTTTTTGCCATGATAACCAGGCTTGCAGGTGCAAGCCCCATTCCTTGCGTTGCATTCCAGCGTGTACTCTTTCACGCACTGACACTCCTCTGAGCAGCCAGCTCCAAAGGCCCACCTGGGACAGGCTGCAGCCAGATAAAAAGGAATCATTAGCTCTGTAATTATGCATGAGTTATTTGAAATTGCAAACTGCTGCAGAATGCAACTGCTGCAAAAAAGCAAAACGTTCATTTTACTTTCAGCAAATACATCCACATTCCTATGATGGTGCCCATTAATATGTGGGTGTGTAAAATATGGTTTACATGATGCCTATATTAAGTAATTAATTTCATTTCAAGCAATATGTGGTGAATGCAAGAAACAGAAATGTTTCAAAGAAAACTTAGTTAAGTTTCTGAATGAAAAAAAATATTTGGATACAGTCCAAGACAAAATCTTCTCTTAAAAAAAAAACAAACCCAACCAACCAAACAAAAAACCAACCAAATCACACAACTAATCTTGCATAGATTTAGGAACAAAAGCTGTAAGCCATATTTTAATATTTTTGTTTTGATTCTTTGCATCCCCATTTGACATTTCATCTTCATCCTGCCCCAGTCAGCCCTACTCCTCAGCTCCTACTCTGACATTATTGGCAGCCCCTAACTCCAGCTGGACTTTAGCCTCACTAACAACCCTGACATTAACCTGGCCAATCCAAACCAACCCTACCTATAGTCCTCACACCTTTGCATATCAGTAAATCTCAGTCCTTATGGCCAAATTTAATTGCTAGAGGAAAAGATTAATGAAATTTCTGGGGCTTCCTGGCATGCATCCAGAGTCACATCCTCTTGCTACTCCCAGTTCATCACAGAACCCACTCATTTTGTATGTGATGTGGAATCTTTTAGACACCATTATGTTGTGCATATGTTAAACAGATCCAAAAAATTACAGAAACTTACTAAGATGGCAGAAGCGCCCATAAAGCCCTGGGTCACATAGGCAGGCTCCATAGAGTCTGTGGCAATAGCCGTTGTTGGCGCAGTTGCATGGTTTATTACAGTTCTTCCCAAAGAAGCCTTTCGGGCAACCTTTTAAGTGCACAAACACAGCAAGGCATCAGCTGTTAAGTGTTAAAACATAAACACCAAATCAGCTCTCTTTTAGTTGGCGCTACAGAAAAGACAGGTTGCCTTTTTGCTGACCTGGGGCTTGTGAGCCCATCCTTACAAGGTACGTGCTTTTTCTCTGTCTTGCTTATTATTTAAACAAAAGTCACCGCAAAACAAGTTGCAGGGTTACGTCTCACACAATGGAGACTATTCTCATTAGCGCCACTAAGGTTTACTACACACAATTACATCTAGATAGAAACAAAGGGAAAGAAATGGTGAGGTTTCAGGCAAGACAAGGGGAGCCATACCATCTTCACAGAGCTTGCCGTGCACACCGGGTGGGCAGCGGCACTGCCCTGTGACAGGGTCACACGAGCCTCCGTTCTGGCACTTGCAAATGCTGGCACAGCCTCTGCCATATGTCCCTGGGGAGCAAGCTGTGGAGAAATCAGGGAAAATGAATGGGCCATGAAATCCCGTCCCTTTATAAAAATAACACTCCAGTCATCAAAACTGAGCAATGAGAGTTCTTTTAGTCAAGCAGCTCTAATCAAAGTTATATTCTTTCTATATAAGGTAACACACATGTGTCTGATATTTACTATTTAATTTTAAAAGGACACCTGAATTAAGCTGACTTACGTGAAGTACTGCATGATGTATTCAAATTCTCCACTGCGTATGCTTCCCTCCACACAATGCACAAGGCTCAAAAAACATTGCTTGTTAAGTACAAAACTTTTTTTTTTCCCCAAATACTATTATAAAAATAACATTATGTTTTTCTAACATAGCCTCTGAAATTCCCCAGATGATCATGGCAGAAACGGATCCACAACAAGATTCCTTCCTGTCATCGCTCCAGTGCAAAACAAGTTGTGAAATGAAGTCTTGATCCACCAAGCTCATTACCTGAGTAAATACAGTTGCTGGAGTCATCTGACTTAACTGACATTTTATCAATGTACATGAAAAAACTTTACATTTCACATCAATTTCCATTCAGCTTCTTTGGTGCGTTATTACTAAAATTTAGTTTCAGTTTTCTCAACTGCTTGTCTCGCCCTAAACCCATTAACTATGCTGTATGTTCAGAAAAAAATAGAAAAGACTGAAAGCAATCACATATGACTAAATCATAGATTATCTATTGTATTTATCATTGTAATGGCTATGTCACTGGGTTGCAGGTTTTGCTCAGTAATGCCTTAAATGCATCCCATTAAAGTTCTTTAAATTATGGAGGTGATTTCCACCAGATTACATGCATGCATATCTACTGTAAATATAAAGCAGAAATGTTATTATTATTTATGAAGTGGACTAAAGAATTTGTATCCTCTCTTGAAGTTTTTATGACCTGTTCTGAACCACTAGAGCACCATGAATAGATGTTAAGAATAACTAGAGCACCATGAATAGATGTAAGAATAATCTAACTGGTCTAGTCTTAGGTAGACTAGAAATTATCATTTTAATTCTCTTCATATCTATTCTCTTAGCTGTCCCCAGTGTTTACAAACCAAACCCAGGATCAGCCACCCAAACTAATTTTGGGCAGACTGTTGGTTTCAATAATTTGCCTTTTTTTCTATATTTCTGTCCTTGTGATGATGCCCCCTAAACAATCTTGATTACGTTAACCTGAACATTGATGTCTACCGATGCTGAATAATAATTCTTCACTGACTGCCTCATCAGTGACAGAACAGACTTTCTGAGTATGACGGGCCATCGTGCCACACACCATAAAACAGAGGGACCTATCTCAAACACTCAGGAGACCTACCATGTAGTCTCAGACAAGCAACAGACAAGTTTTGCCAAACTACAGATGAAGAACAGTGCATGGTACATCAAGAAATCACCACTCTATGGTTCTAGTTGGTTTTGACACAGACTTCTGACCCAGAAGGATCCTCTGCCAGGAAGCAGGAATAAGGAGAGTAAAAAGCTGTTACAAAGGACATTGTTTGACTTGGTAGGAGAATTCTGAAATATAAAATTTCCAATATTAAAAATTAAACATCACAAGAAAATGATGCTAATAATAAAAAGAATGATAAGGGGAAAAAAATTAAAAAGTCAATGTCTGGGGATGTTACAATGGAAAAAAAAAACCCAAGCTTAGTACACATGTCCATCCAGACTGTCACACCACCTGCCGGGACAGATTTCTGAAAGTCAGTAAGGCAAATTGTGGAATGAGGCATTGCAGGCAAACTTCAGCAGTTTTTAGCAGCAGAGTGAATAGGAATGAACACCAGACAAATACTGTACAATACTGCACTGGCAGGCAGGGACCCCGCTGTTTGAGGGCTTGTAGTATATATTGTAGCATCCCTTACTTTCTATTTAATGTACCCCATTACAATAAAGTTTGATCTGCCTATGAGACAGCTGTGCTCCTTAGAAAGCTTTACAGATTAAAAGTACAACAAGTTATTCCTATTTCCTACCTATCTGCAGCATCACAGCACTAGGACAAAGTCCTCACCTTTGAAACCCACTGTACTCACTTTCATTACAGATAATGCCAGTCCACCCAGGTGAGCAAACACAGCCACTGTGTTCACTGTTACATCTGCCTCCGTTCAGACAATCCTCACAGCTCAAGCTACAGTCATTGCCGAACGCGTTATCAAGGCAAACTGGAATGAAAAAATACAGAAGGCTTAGTGAGCATACAGACAAAATACTTCCACAAGCTTTCACCTCTCATCCCAGACGTATAAGTGTAAAAAGGAACCTACACAACGTTGACAGTCTGAGAAAAAAGTATTCATGTTGCTAGCATTAATGCTGGTAATGTTGCAAATACCACTGATTCATTTCATGTCCCAAATAGTGATTCCTGGACTTCCCTCTCCAAATTTTATAGTTGAAATAAAAGGAAAGCTGAGACTTAGCTGGAATTTATTCCTTTAAATGCTGTAATTCCTACCAAAGAGCACTTAAAACTACTTTTTAAAAGCAAATATCTTGCCTTCAGAAAAAGTGAATTTGCACCTAATAAAAGCTTGATAATATTGTATACAATTAGAATTATTTTGTGGGAGAGAATATCTTTTTCTCCATACTAGGCTATGCTTTTTGTTCTATTGCAGTAGGTGGACGTGGTGCTATTTAAGCTTAGCTCAGTGATATTTTAACAGCAGAGGCTGGGTGTTATTCTAGGAAAACAATGTATAATAGACATTTATCCCTACCTTTTTCTTCACAGATATGAAAAAAGGGTTAGTTTATATGGGAAAGCTTATGTGAAAACGCATTTCTCCCTCACCTTCCCCAACCTCTTTTTTTCCCTTACACCCACAGACACCTGCACCCTCATGATCTTTCCTTGTGAGGTCTATTGAGAAAGGCGCAGAAAATAAATGTTACTTGCTGCTAAAATACCTTGGTGTCATTAAGATCCTATCCACATGGTCAGTTTACTGCCTCTGAGGCTTTATGGCTTTGGCTGGAAGCATTTTGGAAAGGGATTTAGAACAACACCTGAAAGCGAGGTGGCAGATTGTTTCAGCTAACAGTAAGTCAGCAGGCTGGTTGCTTCTCGCCAGCAATTTTCCATGTGGGGCCAGATTTCCTTTAGGTCTCAGCACCCAGCTGTTCTTTTCTCTTGTTAGCTCAACAAATGCCGAAGCTTCCAGAGACATTCAGAATCTCAGTGCTCCCACCTGGAACGGGTTGTAAGTTCATACTTCAGGAGAATAATACAGATTACCAGTAAAAACATCATGCTTCTACCTTAAGAAGTCATTCAAGTTATAGAAAATATTTAATTACTTTTGCCTGTTTACTGTTAAAGCATGGGGGTTTACAATATAGATAGCAGCACAGAAATATGTCTGAAAGTATGAGAAATAAATTAGTATTTGCGAGTTAAAAGTGCTTATTAAACCATTAGAATTTCCATTTCTCCCTCACCTTTTCCTTCCATTATGTGCTGCAAAGCCTCAGCTTTAGGACAAGTGCAGATGCTCTGCTATGACTGATAACACCTAAATTTATGTGGCTAAATATAAATAAAACATGCAAGAACTGGTCAATAAATATTTGATTCTGGTTTCTAGGCCTGATAATTTTGCCTGTGGTTATCTCATTTATCAGTTTCCCAATTGGTTACCAGTGTTGTTGAGTCCGACTAGATGCTATGTGATTTGGGAGGTCTTAACTCTTTTGTTCATAAAAATAAGTTAATTTTTTTATTAAAGCCAAGACCAATTCCTGATTTTTGCCTGTAGGGCACAGTACTCAGATGAGTAATTAAAGCTCATATAAAAATCACAGGACATACATAACAAAAATAAGAATTTTCTTTCTTCCCTGGTGACCACTGGCACATACTGTACTCATCAGGAAAGCAAGCACAGGGTTTCAACTCATAATACTCTTTAGGTGATGAAGTTTCTACCTTCAGGTGGAAAGACTGAAGTCATGCAAAGCTCAAGTGGGGTGCAAAACAGCTTTTGCACTTACTCCTGTGACTGTGTGGGCTCATGTGCTCTCTTTGTCACCAGTCATGCCAAGCCCTTGGCCAGCCTGAGCATTATGTGGATGTGTCCCAACTTTTTCCAGAGAACATGCCCAAAGCATCAAAAGGGATGTGAATCTCCAGAGGGTTGTTTTTTTTCCACAAAAAAGAATGCAAAAATATTAAGCAAAAACCCTCCAGTGATTATAAAAGGGCTTGTTAAAAGGGCACACATGCCCCCAAACCCATTGCAATAACCCATGCAACCCTCTAGCCCTAGGATCTTTCTCTTGTTGCTTCTGAGGCTTTGTGCAGACTACCTGTTTTTCCAAGAAGGCTTCCATCCCCTGCCTGCTGTGCTCTCGCTTTTCCCCTGCATCCCTCCCATCACATCCAGCCAGCAGCCATGAGCAGTGAGCCTCCCTGTTCCTCAAACGTGTCCCATTTGGGATGGGACGTGTAGTAATGCCACCTCCCTGATGGCATAGAGGACAGGCAGAAATGATTAAAGCTCATCCGTCCTGACAGGGACCCTCCATCCCTGACAGTATAAGCCCCAGCCAGCCCAGCATAACTCTCACGCAGAATTCTCTTCCTGACACTATTCCCCCAGTTTGCTGTAATGGCTAGAAGTGCTTGTTCACTCACCAACCCTGTGCACCAGGGTGAGCTCTTCTCGTGGATCTTCATCCTCATAGAGGGCACCAAGGGTGTAGTGAAGGAGCTGTGGGGGATCTCTGAACTGCAGCCCTGGAGCCCCGGCAAACCCCACTGCTTCCTCTGCATCCACGTCCTCCCCACCTAGGGCTGACACACACACATGCCATCAGGAACTTGCCCTGACTCTTCCTTACAGATTTTTAATTTATTGTTTTTTTTTAATTTTTATTATGCTGGTACATTTTCCACCTACACCACTGTGCAGTCTGCACGGCTGATTCGTTTTCTCATCTGTATGTACAAACAGAGTTTCTGCTATCCAAAAAAAGAGAAATGGGAGAAATGGGAGGGAAGCAGGGCAGGAGAAGAAATCCTTCCCTTTCCTTTCTTCTGGAAATAAACTCTGGTCATGGAAAGTCCAAAAAAAGAAATTAAATGAGGATTTTAATTTTCCTCACTTGAAGTATGAGATTATTTTTAGTTAATGAAGGTCATTACTTTGGCTCATTTTGGAGATGACATATATAGAGTGAGTCTGGCTGTCCAATTTATCTTCAGAAAACCTAAAATTTGAGCCTTAAAAGTGATGGGAAATCATTTGGCTTTCTTTTTGGAGCTGGTTAAAATATCGAACTCTGCCTAAGGTTTAACAGGTGCTAAAGCTGGTTGTAAAACTAAGTTGCTAGGCTAAATTCTGTACTGGTTACGCTGGCAGAAATCCAGAATCACACCACTGACTTTAGTGGAAAACTTGCTATAGTTCATAAAAGCACAATTGGGCTACCTTTTTTTTCCACAGGATGTTAAACTTCACCAAAAGGTGCAAGAAAACTGTCAAAATAGTATTCATTTCTAGAACGTGAGGTTTAGGTTTTCCAGCATATCCAAGGGATTTAAGCACTCATCTCCCATTATCCCTGGCAAAACCCATTACTTGAGGAATAACTTGGGATCATGCAACTCGGCGTTGTATGTAGCTCTACCCTGGCCACATTCAGAGATGGATCCCAAAATCCCAGAACCTGTGAAAATCCCAGTTCTGAATTCACATTTTAGATCAGTGGGAAATACTTAATGGCCTCCAGTATGTAAAAATAACTTACCAATGCAGGACAATCTGTTAACACCAAGCCTGTAACCCTCCTTACATGCACATTCATATGACCCCAGAAGATTAACACAGAAATGGTCACAGTTGCCATTATTAAGATGACATTCATCCACATCTATTAAAAATAGATAAAAATGCTGATTAGGTACAAGTCCTTCTCTTTGGAGAGTACACTCTCTGCCCGGCTGCATCTGAAAAATTATTCTGCACATATGAACACCTGAATTTTTAGTATTTGGGGGGGGGTGTGTGGGGGTGTGTGTGTCTGCTTCTCACTAGAATTTGAGATATTAAAACATTTCAGGACAACATGGATTATTTGATTTACATTTTTGTCTCAAGTGAAAACAGCTGCTTTAAGCTGTTAAGCTCAGTTGATCCTCTGGTTATTTTGAAGGCTTTCCTTTTGTAGAAGTAGTCTTTAACACATATCAACATACAGTGTCCATGGAGAGAGGAGGAAAAGTTCCTCTTTGCTGGCTTGTTTCCCACAGCCCCACTTCTCCATGCTGGATCCTGGGTTATTACTGTATTCTAGTCTCACAAAGTGGAAATTATACATTTGCAAAATCTTATCAGCAAAGCTCGCATACGGTCACTGATTCTCTTATTAGAGAAATGTCCACACAGCTCTGTGATGAGCTTTGACAGCATTTCTTCTATCTACTGCTGTGCTTAGTTAGACTGAGCCACTGGTATCAAGGGACTCACCGTCGCAGGCACAGCCATCGGCATTTGGCTGGAACCCCGCTTTGCAGGCACACTCATAGCCACCTGCATAGTTGATGCAGAATTGGGAGCAGCAAGACTCTCCGGTCTTGCACTCGTCCAGCTCTGCAAGAAAGAAGCAACTTGTTCAGCCCTTAGGCACAGTCTGAGCTGTTCCACCAGTGTGGCTCAGTTGCTATTGTGCTTTTCAGCACATGCCTTTCTATGTCTTCCACTCCCTTCACCCACATAAAACACTGAATCTGACAGCAGCTCTCTTCTACTTTCTCCCACAGTAGCCAATACCCTTTATGTCCAAGGAGAGGCACCTTTTCTTCAAGTCGTAGCTTCCATGAGGTGATTTACAAAACAAACAATGATTATGTCTCACCAGCCCACAAATACCATCTATTTAACAGTAATCTACATTTAACCATTTGTACTTTTTTTACATTCAACCTTATTCAAAACAAACTGGTAGCGAAAGAGAGCTCTGATCCAACAAAGCGTTTGCTGGACATCAGCAGCTTACTAGGTGCACTTGCAGTTTTTGATAACTAATTGCCCATTGCCTTATCTTGCCCTGTGTCCATCTGGAAATTGGTATAATTGACACCGTTATTCCGGTGATTAGACAGGAGAATCGAGCTGTTATCTTTCCAGTGCAGGCTCTCAGGTGATGCCAGCCCTTGCAGCCTGCTGAGCAGGTCAGTGGCCATTCAAGGGCCACCTTGTCAATGCTGAGTCTGCAAAATGCATTTGATGAGCAGCCGCAGATGGGAAAGGTCAGTGTCTCAATTAACCTTGGAAGAAGTACCAACATTATTAGGAAACACCGACAGGAGAAAGAGGAGGAAGAAAATGTAATTAATCAATTGAGGTGAAGAGGTCAGCATGAAAATGATAAATGCAGGTTATTTGAACACAAGAGTGTTTTCCAGAAATGCTGCAAGCTGAGTTCCTCTGCAGTACATCAGACAATGCCTTGCTCTGGGGTCTAGCAACAGGCCCTTGTCTGTGCAGGAATGTGAAGTGTGCATTCAACAAAAAGGAGATTTTTGCTGTTAAGAGTAGCTTTTCATGTCCTCAGTCTTGCCAAATCCTTCCCCTGTGCTCTCACTTCCCTCCTGGACACATCCAGTGTAACTGCTTCCCTCTGAAATCCTCATCAGCAGGTCACTGAGCTGGGGCACAGGCAGGAGGCTGCTCTGCCTCCTCTCATCCGTACACAAACAAGACTGCATAAACCATCCCACCCCTGCAAGGCTCTGTGCCCAAATCTGCCTCCCTGACCTGCTTTTTAAGCTCCAGCACAGGTCACCCTTGTAGACCTCAGTGCTTCCCTCTTCCCTCCTCTCTCCTGCACTTGGCCTTTTTTGTTGCAAGGCTCTTCTTGTCTGTAATGCCTGTCACATCAACCAGTGCTCTCACTCTCTACCTCTCCTCACATCTTACTATACTGCTGTGTGGTACCTGCTCTGGTTTTTTCCTCCCTTTCTTCTTGGCTATTCTTTAAAATTTTAATGTCATAGTGACAGCAAGCCTAAAGCGGAACACGATACAGTTTGCACAGCAAAAGGAGTAAACAAACAAAAAAATTAAAAATCACATTGTAAAATTGTTTAAAACGTGAATGAATTTTTAAGCTCTTTTCTTGAAATGAAAACAAATCTAACTATTGCTTTCACTTCCTAAGTGAGACTTCTCACAGTCAGAGGTGCAATCTCATCACTGAGCCAGTCTGATAGAAATACAGCAACTTCCACAACACAAAGTGGGGTTTGCACATGAAGCACTTCAGAATAGCAATGCTACCTCTCCCAGCCAGAGGTGACCTCTTCCCGGCCGCCAGCTGACGAAGGGAAGGCAAAAAAGTCAGACAAGTGATGTTTGAGCTGCACACAATGAGATACGGCCACAGCAACTGGCAATGCACCAAACTGTCATCTTCCATTTGGGAGGCAGAACTCCTTCCCCATGTTAATTAATACTCCCAGCAAACATGCAGAGTGAGGCAAGCTGGAGCCGTGGCTTGGAAGCACCAGAGGATGGTATTAATTAAAACTTGTAGAAGAAAGGAAGGAGATGGGAAGGCATTTCCTTGAGTGACAGCTCTCCTGCAGGCTGCCGTTGCAGAGAGACCTGCCGTGTCTCCTCCCTCCTCCCACAGGAGCACTGTATTTGTCATGAATTACCTGCACATGTTTTGCCATCAAAATCGAGGTGATAGCCATCGTCACAGGAGCAGCGTGGCCCCTCAGTCGTGTGTTCGCAGTGGTGAGAGCAGCCACCGTTGTTTTCCTGGCAGCTATCGACAATTTCCATTTCGATGCCTTGCAGAGAAATAAATCAAAATGATGTTAAAAAGCAAGCACAGGGGGAGTCACTGGAGAATAAGCTTTCTGTAAAAAAGCATACATAAGCTGACTGCTGTAGCAGGAAATATAAACTGAACTCCCACTCACACCACAGAAAAGCATGTTTTGGAGCCACTGAACTCTGGGTATTTGTCTCCTTGTGTCATAACAGTGTATGCTCTTGACTTGGGTAATGTGAAGCTGGTCCACCGTTCCAGCAGTCTGCCTACTACAGGAGCCCTCACAGGTTTCCTGAGATTTATGCTTGCTTTGAATGCAATAGCAAGTTCTGCCCTTGCCTCAAAGGAGGAAAGGAACCATCTGAAGAACCCAGGTGGTCCATCTCAACCCAGACTGCTTGTGCTTTCCAATAAGGAACTTTTAGTGTCGTATGCGAATGGGAAAGAGCTGGGTTCTGAAACATCCACCAAACACAAATGTCTTAAAACTTTAACAGCAGAGTGCTGTGTGACACCAAACCACAAGATGGCAAGTCTGACACCTAACCACAAAGCAGAAGATTCCACAGGTTTTGACTGTTGGATCTAAGGTTAAATATAAGGAAGAAGTTCTTTACTTTGAGGGTGGTGAGGCACTGGAATGGGTTGCCCAAGGAACTTATGAATGCTCCATCCCTGGCAGTGTTCAAGGCCAGGCTGGATGGAGTCTTGGGTGACATGGCTTAGTGTGAGGTGTCCCTGCCCATGGCAGGGGGGTTTGAACCTGATGATCTTAAGGTTGTTTCCAGCCCTAACTATTCTATGATTCTATGTCCCTTCAACAGGGCACATGGCAATTTCCCTCCTGGGACTTTGCCCGTAATTAAGACAGTGTGGTGGCATGATGGTGTTGCCATCCCTCTTCACCCTGATGGATCATCCCCATCCTTCTGCACTGGGCTGTGCTGGACAGTCCTCACAACTGGCCAGGTCCAGTAGAAGTCCTCAGATAGAAAAGGGAACATCTGGCCACCTCATTCCTACCCAGGTACTTCATTGGATGATTTCTTTGGGATGAAAGCAAATTGTAAGCTCAGTTCTAAATTTTCTCCTGAAGAATTACCCAGAGTGTCTCATTACAGAACTATGTAGAGAGGAATTAATTTCCCATAATATGCAGGAGAACTGAGAAACACCCTCCTTAAAGGAGCCACCATGCTTCCAGAAACACTCCAGCTCAGAGCTGAGGCCATCAGATTTGGTGCAGAAGGATGGGATTTCCCCACTGCTGTGGCTCAGGGACACATCTGTGTTGGAGGTTCTGCTCCTACGCTTTTTGTGCCCTCAGGGAGCAATCCACCTGCCGAAATGCAAGTCTAGCTGGAAGAGGATATAAATTAGGAGAATATATATTGAAAGCTACATCCTGTGTATAGTATGATTATTTGCAGCAGGGAGAAGAAACCTAGTCACCTGTCCTATGTGTCAAGCTGGGATTTAGGAAACCCAGCAATCAAATGCAGAATCTGACTTCATATACTGTCTTCATCATTTACTTTGTCTCAGTTCTTCATCAGTAAAAATAGAATAATAGCTCTTCCCCCTGACACTGGGGAAATGAAAGAATAAACAAAGATTATAAATTTCTCAAGCACTGGGATAACCCAGATCATGAATAGATGCAGAATGTTTTTATTTTTATTATTTGCTTTAAATATTGTACATAAGGCACAGAGAATCACCATCGCCTGAGATTTGCAGAACATGGAGAAAATACATTACCAGAAAAATCACAATAAAATCTAAGTGGTCTAAAGCACTTTTTTTTTAATCCCAAGATAACACATCATTTCATATCTATATATTAATTGCATTTCCTCTACCACTGCACTATTCACAGTTCCCCCCATCACCTATGAAATAATTCTCCAGGATATCTCTCACATAATTGTTTTTTGTTTTTAATGTATGTTAATGCTTTGAAACTGAATTTCATCCCCAATAAGTATTTCTTACACACACATTCTTAAAGAAAGCATACATTCTCTGGCATGCAGCATATTTTCCTAAGGAAATTCTGCTGAAAGCTCTTGCACAGTATTATTACATTGAATGGTCTTTGCCCACCTCTTTCCTAAAACAGGTCATTCTTTTGTCTGCATTCCAGTGAGCTTATGTTAGGTCCATAATAACACAAACTTTTCCACACATCATCTCCTTTATTTATCTAAATTTGCCCTCAAGGACAGCCTAGGGATCACCTATCAACTAACAGTGCTGGAAATCAGTCCCCTCCTCAAGAAAAGCGGTGTTGATTAAGAAACCCTGCTGGCAAGAGATAAGCATGTGAGGGAAGACAACAGAGCTCAGCATCATTTTAGTTTGGGAAATTTCAGTTGTTCAAATATTTTTTGCATCCCAAACCTTGCTTTTTCCCTTTTTTTTTTTTTTAAGGCATCTACTTAATAGTGTCAATAATCTCAGAAGAAACATAAGTAAATTTAGAGAGATAAAGACAGGAGTAGAATATTACATTTCTTTCTTGCCTCAGATGTGGCATATAATAAAATTGGGAGGAGGAGGGCAGGAATGAATGTATTTCACAGAAGAGCAATATTTTAGTAGTCCTACACAGAATTCACCAGTCTCTGAAGATAAACCAACATGGCTATTTGCTCTTTGAAATGCAGTAATTAAGGTCTGTGAACACAGGTTTAGGAATATCAACCTGCAAAACCAGCAGTGGCAGAAGATGAAGAAAATAGTATTAAGCTTGAGCTTTTGCATACATTTATGTTGCTGTGAGTGCTAATCCAACTGAATTAAAAATGAAGTATAGCAGTTTGCAGATAAGAATGCCTGAAATGCATAACTGCAAAAGTGTCACTTACGGTAGCACTGCTTTCCATCAGCCCCCAGCTCGAAGCCTGGATTACAGACACAGGTGAAGGATCCCAGACTGTTCACACAACGATGAGCACACCTGGCTCTTCCTTCTGCACACTCATCAATGTCTATGAAGCGTAGAGAAAGGCAAAGACATTCATTTGGATATTAAAGTAAAAAATAGTATTTTTCTACATGCACATGGCTGAAAAGCACATCGTGATGTTAGTCTACAAATGACAGCATCTGATGAATCCAGGAACAGTGAATTCAACATTGCTCTACAAAATAACCTTTCCTTCTGAACACCATTGACCTTGAACCATTCAGTGTGAATATTTACAATACCAAGCATTATATTTACAGAATCAGTCAAAGCAACTTATTATTCCTGTAAAGAAAGCAATGGCCAAATAAGTCACATGAAGAATTCAGAAGAAATTCCTACCTCCCACTACCCTAAAATTATCACTAAGTCTTCAAAACTGCTACATTTAAATTAATGGAACAGGAAATAGCTGAATGTCAAATGATTTGGATTGAATAGTGGCTGGGTTTCAGCAGGTACAATGGAGACAGATCTCGGTCACATCCCTGAATCATGCTTCTACAGAAGTCATCTACTCCAACCAGCAGAGTTTCACCACACCTCACCACACCTATAAGTAAAGAAAAAAGGTGAGGAACTGTGGATGGAGAGACCGTTGTTCGCCCAGCCCTCTCTTAAGGCTGTGAAAGCCCTTCTCAGCTTTATACTCACTAGTTTGTATTTTGGAGTTAAATGCGACCAGAGGCATCCATTTTCCTAAAATCTCAGTGGGACATAAAACTACTCATAAAGAATAATTATTGGGAAAAAAAAAAAAAAAAGAAAAGAAAAAAGGCAAAGCAAAAACTTACACTAAACACTGCTGCTGTGGAGCACAGCTGCAGACAACATTAACCTCTGTGCAAAGACTGACATTATCTTGCACACAGCAAACCCATAACCCACCTCCTGTTCCTTCTCTTGTTCTGACATTTTGCTTCCAAAATACAGATTATTCATTGCACCGATCCTGGGTCAGTGTCTCACACAGAGGAGAGAACAGTCTGGTGTGCAGCTCCTCACCTTTTGCCACAGCAAACCACTTTCTAACAGGTTTTATTTTTTTCTTCGCATATGCTGTAACCAGTGCCATAGTCATGGCCCCTTGTACTTGAACACAAGTAGCTTTATAAATGCAATCAGCCTACTTGCAAAAAGAGGCCTCAGGCACTGCAAACACCACACACCGACTCATGAAAATTTCAGGATAAATGACAGCTTCTCTGAAGCAGCCATGTGAGTATAGCTGCTGTTTAAACTAAAGTGGGCTCTCTCTCCTTTTTCTGTAATTGTCATTTTGCAAGTAGACTATGTATCTAAATTCTGTATATGTGCTTTTCTCTTTTTCTGCTTTTTCAAATAGAAAGAAGTTGGAAAACTGAAACAGCCACCAATCTCCACGTTTCTTCCTATCTTTTAAATACAGCTAATAGCTAAAGTATGACACTTTAGTTGCCCTCTGTCTCCTTCTAGCTCATCTTCCAGAGAGCCAAATACTAGCTTGAATTTTGCAAAAGATATTGAATAATTTCTGGAAGAAAAAAAAAAAATAATTGCATATCCATAGTAAGACATGATGCCTAGCAATTCAAAAGACTGTTGTCATGAAGGTGGGAAGAAAATTTGTTCCAATATGTGACACTGGAAGTTTCCTAGTGTGTTAGTTTATACATAAATTAATGGAATTGTCAATGTGTATCTTAGATAAAATGAATAACATGCTGACCCTAGTATTAAACCCACTGCTGTTTCCATCTATTAATCGTCAGTGAAGTGTCTACACTGCTTTAAAATACACTGCTTTTTCAGTAACCTTACTTATGAGTAATCGCAGTAAGAGAGGATAGTCACTGAGCTGTGCAATGTTACTCACAGAATAGCTTAGAGACAACTGAGTAAAATAATCAAGTTAGGAAGTATTTTGCAAAGCACCCAGCACCACACAAGACAACAATATGAACACTGGCAAAATCCTGACCAGGTTTTCAAAAGGAGGAGCTCATAACTGGTGTCCAAATACATACCCTGACTCTGACAAGGCTGTTAAAAATCTGTGCACCATGAAGTCCACAATTGCTTTTTCCTTCATAAAACTGATAATCTAGCTTCCAAGTATCATATTGAAAGAAAAGCAGGTATTTTGATAGGTAATTGCCCCACATTTCAGCTCAAAAATGCTTTAGAACCTTTTGAAAATCTCAGACTAAATACAAGACTTTGGAATTCAACTCTTTAAGCACCTTTCTTTGGAAATCTTACACTTCATAATTTTCCTTAACAGTAGTTTGTCTATTAATATGGAAACAGTTCTCCAGCTAAAAAGCCCTTTGAATTCTAAATAGGTTTTCAGTGACCTGGTTCAGAGTTAACTTGAACCAATTTTCCAGGAGCTGTATCTGGGGCATTATTTTAAAGGGACCCTACAAGAATAACACTACAGTATCTACAAATCCAATTGCTAGAAAGCATGGTTTAAGAGATCACAGAGTAATTTTCATTAATAAAATGGTTCTTCGATAGTATTGTGTGATGTCAATATCACAGAAAGAAACACCATTTCAAAATGCAGACATATATTTGTACAATATATTCTTTTCCATTCAAAGCTCAACAAACCAGAGTGCGTATTAGTATCTTTCTTCCCAATAAATAGTCCATAGTTTCTTACCTAAACAGGACGTTTTGTCTGCAGAAAGATAATACCCTGCATGACACTCGCACTTTGCAGTTCCTCTCTCATTTTGACAGATTTGTGAGCATCCTCCATTCCCAGTTGTGCAGAGGTCTATCACTGAAACCAATTAGAACACACTGTCAACTTAAAGGTCATGGTTTTGTCTGAAAATGATCTTACCTGCCACTGTTATAACTAACAACAAAGATTACTGTAGCTGCAAGAGATTAGACTGGAAAAAAAAAATTTGACAGAATTTGGTGTACAGTAGAGCCATTGTTTTTCTGAACACTATTTTCTCTGTTGCTGGACAGCATTTTTCAAGAGCAGCAACAATGCTTTACACAGTGGGAAGCTGGGCTTGTATTACACCTTGAAAGTAGGATAAGATAAGTACATTTTATTCTTATTTTGCTGTAACTGAGCAGATTTCAGTAGTTGTCCTAAACAATAGCAATTAGCATTCCAATATGTGTGAACCCATAAACACATACAGCTGTGGAGTTTGCCACAGAACAGTGTGTATTTAAAAGTCTCTAGAGGAAATAAATACTGGAGAGCCACAAAAGACCTCCTTCAGTCTAAAAACATGTCATTCCTGTTATACATCAAGATTTTCTTCCTTTTCTTGAACAAAAACATACCATTTCAAGGATAAGCCACTCTTAACTGGCAAGTACTTAGCAACACATTTATAAAGTGCTTATAGAAGTCTCCACCTCAGAGATTTCATCGTGTTTCATGGGTTTATTTCTGGAATACATACCTGCTGGAAACAATTCTGATGTATCTGCCCAAATAAAGACTTTGCACACAGTAGAAGAGACCTAACTGGGACTATTTGGACTTGGGTTAAGAGCCAGAGTTTTCATACCAAAATCTGATATTCTGCAGAAGGTTGAGGTTTCAGTTTGGAGTACTAGTTATGCTAACACACTGGTGATTAACATCACATAGATAAATTTGGAGGACACCTTTGAAAATGTGTCCTCTAGAGTTCTGCTTAGCTTCAAAATAAAGCTTTTCAAAAGTCAGAATTCAAGCTCTAATTCAGTTTTAGCATTTTACTAATTATTGTCTGATTTGAGACATTTGACCAGTATTTCTCACTCGCCTCCAACCTGAAAACTCCTTCACCAGCCAACTCAAGCTTTGTACAAGCCAACTTTTATCAAGGCATGAGGAAGAAAGTTAACATCAGTTCAAAGCACTGGCAGTGCTGTCAGTAACCCTGGGAAACCCCAGTAACCCTGGGAAAGGGTTGAAGCTGTTCTCATTTTTCATTTTTTCATTTTCTTTTTCATTTCTTCCAATTTTCACTTTTCTGTGTAGTGAGTGGCATTTTCAGCCATCATTTGGCAAAGAAGAATATTTCCCCAGAACACCTTTAAATTCCCTTGTTTAACTTCTGCCATCTCAAGAACATAACAATTCAAGTTTGCAGACTGAGTTTGCCTTCAGAGTATAAAGAATAAATAAAAAAATCACTGTTAAGTATGTAGAACTGAAGTTTTCTGTTGGATTTTCACCACAATAAATTGCAAATATTTTTCCAAGGGACAGCAGCACTTCATTCTATGTAACACTTTCAACACTGACAGCTTGGATCTACAGTTTGACAATTTGTGGTCTACAAAGGATTCAGCATCAAGAAAGAACTCGTTCCTCACTGATATAAAATACTAAGTTATTTGCTGATTTTTTTCTATTTGGTTAAACTAAACAAAATTACTAGCAAACAGCATCTGTTAAACCTGCATATTATAATGGTTTTCAGAGCATCTAAAGCTTTAATTTGAGAATGATTATTGCACCAGAGTAAACTTGTAATACTGTGTGACATGACAACAAACAAACAACAAATTATAGGGTAGATGTTAGCGCAACACAGTAATTTGAATAAAGATAGCAGCCTTAGAAGTCCTTAGACAAGATAAAAGATCGTAAAGGAAAGATCTTCAGGACATAAGGCAACCACTGATTGACTTGTTTTCCACTGACATATCTGTTCCTTCCTGTTATAGGCAGGTTTCAGGAAAAACTAAAAATAACTCATTAGAGTTATTTTTTCCTACACATTTGGCTCTTATTGACTTAACAACTTTAGTAGATAACAGACTGCATCATACAAAACTCTATTCCAAGCTGTTAAACGCTATGGCAAAAAATTTAATGGAATGATTAATTTCCTAGATGTTCTAGATCAGTCTGCCTCTATGCTGAAAGCTGCACTACCCTGCTAGGCTTGGATGTTTCTGTGTGGCCTTTCAGGGCTATGGGGTGCAGTATTAACTCCGAAGCAGTCAGCAGGAATGACTCCACACATGCAGCACAGCTACACCTGCTGCAGTAAATACCCTCATGACACTAGTTTCTCTAGCACTGTGCAAACCAGTGCCTACAGCAGCCATCCTTTCTGCTTGGAAAGTAAAATCAGCAAAGCTCACCTCCTCCCACCTTTTCTACTTACAACATCTCTAATTGCCAAGCCAACTGTATTCATGGCCACTTTATGCTCATTTATTCCTGTAAAAATCTTGTCCACCAGTTTAACTATCATTTTTCTTACCCAGGTGTTTATTTGCTAAGGTATTTATGGCAGAAAGCATCCTACTCAATATTCATTTTGCCAGCTGAGCTCCCCTTGTGAGACAGATTCTCCTTCCTCTAAGGACAGTTGTCATCCCAGCGAGGGCTGCACTATTATATGTTGATTTATACCATTCTGAACACAGGTAACCAGGTAGAGACGTGAACTCCAGACAAGGTCTCACCCGCAGACAAAGCTGACCTTGCCCCTTAGCCGCTGTTCAGTAGTTACTGGCTGGTGATGAACTGCTGCCTTTGGTGGGTGTCTGACCCTCATTAGCTTCATGATGTGAGGAAGCCAATGGCCACAGCTGCGTGTGTGGTGGCAGAACCTCACCAACTAGGGGAATGAACCTGCTTGTTTTGCTGCTGAGCTGAACCAGTCACTAACAGCTGAGATAGAGCTTTAAGTGGCACATGGAAGTTTGAACAGCTCCATGACCGTCCAAGTGACCCAACCAGGCGTCGCCACACTCAGACCCTGCCAATCCAACCTCTGTCCCAACACATCACCATAAAAAAAACACTGAAAAGCTTTATGCAGGGGTCTGCATGCCCAGCTGGCTTGGCCAAGGACAACTTAAGTGCCAGAGGCACAGAGGAATCACAAGAGGTTTGGAAATAGGCTGGAGAACAGTGGAAGAAGGTCTCAGATGCCCTTTCCCCTACTCAAAACTCCCCTTGTCTGACTCTTTCTGGCAATCTTGGGGACAAAGCGCAGCCACCCCATGAAAGACGGAGAGGTGAGCTGGTTGTGGGTGCCCCTGTAGAGGGCAGGACCTGGGGAGGCCAAAACTGAAGGCCAAGTGCTCAGAACACACAGTGTGAGTTGGAACCAAGCTGAACAGCATGATTTACTTACACTTTATACACAGCATATGAAAGCTCCAAGCAGAAAAGAAGTCATATGGAAACGGTTTTGTGACAGGAATTTTAGTGCAGTATATCCATATATTTGGCCCTATCTTACTCTGGCATATTCAAGGGTACTATGTGTATGCACCTATGCTGGGGAAGGGGAGGAGTTGCCTTAAAAACTGATGAATACATGTGAGAACCCCCCTCCCCAAATAATCAAACGCAAAGGTAGCATTTCTGTTCTGCTTGTGAGAGTGTTTGCTTAGAATCCTGAAGGGGAGAAGAAATTAATCAGACTATGATTAGGAGAGACATAAACCAAAACCAGATAAAGAAAAGTTTATGTAGAATAAAACACACTATGGAATTATGTAGAATAAAACACAGGCCAACTTGATAAACAACTTGATGAGTAATAAGATGTTAGAATTACAACATGATTAAGTTCCTAACCTATGTCATCATCGTCAGTGTGCAACAAAGAGCAAGTGGTCTATGAGGCCAAAATCTTGTTCAAAATTGTGAATCAATGTGAACTTCACACCTCAAATGTGCCATTTTGAAATTGTGTTAATAAGCAATTCCTGGAGCTGCTTTTGGCAAGCAGGGTGAAATATGAATGAACACAGCCACCCGAAACACTACCCTGGGGTCTTTTTAATTGCCTTTAATGTGTGTCTCCAGGCAGGTAGTGCAGGACTTACCTTCACAGGATCTGGCATCCTTCTTTAGCTGGTAGCCTGGCTGGCACTGGCACTTATAGTGGTCTTCACTGAGCTGAACACAATCCTGCTCACAGCCCCCCTTGTTAACACTGCAGGAATTGATGGCTGGAGCCAAGGAAGCATTGAAGGAACACATGTCAACAACCCAAGAAACTTACTTCCTATTTTAAATGCATAAATGACAGTAAAAATACACAAACATCACCAAACAGCTTTCATAAATGCACCTGTCCCCATCGCCTGCGTGATTGCCCTCCCTTGCATTCAGGGTGCTTGCTTGACACAGTGTTCCATGTCAGCAAAAGCTGTGAATCCAGTGAGAGGCAGGTGAGATCCAAGAGCTGTAATGCTGACTGAAGTACAGCCACCCTTTGATCTGACAGCAGCAAAGCACTTGAGATTCCACTGAGGTAAGGAGGGAAAAAAGAAGTCCCTACTGGTATTTGCCCATTGTTGTTTTGTTGTTTGGTGTTTTTTTTTTCCTGTCCCTGCTGTCATTTATTTAAAAAAAAAAACATATATACAAAACCTGTCTTTTAGTTTGATTTCCTCAGCCTCATGCATAGGAAGCTGCAAATAACAGGAGTCACAAGCTCCACAGGACAGAGTTAGAAAGTAAACCACAAGTAACAAGAGGGTCTTTAGTACATCTCTAAAGATGCTGCTTCCTTTACCCAAGCAAATTAATATTCTTTTTTGTTCAACTTATATCTCTGGCTTCTAGAGAAACATTTCTCCTCCTGCCAAAATACGCTATCACACACCCACACCTATTCGCACACTGCATATAAAAATAAGAGCGATTGACTGAACCTGTTGTTCAGCTGTACATGTGTGAGCGTGTGCAGGACTGTGTCTGTATGTATTTTAACATCAGTGGATGTATTACGTTCTCAATGAATATCTGGAAAGATTATTTGATTCTTCATGAAAGGCATCAAACTCCAGACCCAATGAAGTCAGCAAAGAGCTTTGATATTTATTTTAGGAATATTCATATTAATTCATTTATATGTAATAGACATTAAGAAAACATTAGCCACAAAAGCTGCTGTAGGAAGCAAAGTGTGTGTTAAAAATACCCAAAGAAAAGCAAATTTTTACATTATCATGCACATAGCACACACAGCAGTAGCCAGGAGATACCTTGCTGCACACTGGACCTGACCCTGGCTTCTGATCTTCACCTGTGTCTGCAAACCTCCCACCCAGTTGAAAGCAGCTTGGTTTCTACATGGAAGACAGCAGACTTAATACACTGAGCTTCCTGCTTGCTGCACATTTGTTTCCAAAGACCTGCTTTTCAGCAAGAATATTCAAATGAGATGAAAATATTTCAGAAGATGAAAATGGCCTTAAATCAGCTCCAAGTGATGGAATATACATCTCAGTTTTTAGAAGTGCATTTTCTCCCTCCTTTTCTGGTGGGCATAAGCCAATTTGGATGTAAGGGGAAATAAGCAGCAACCTGCCATACTGAGGATTTTGGAGGCTTCGAAGCCAGAAGGTGATGGGTGTAAACTCCTGCACAGAGAGTTTGCACTGAGGGGGCTGTGCTGCCTGGCCCAGCATGGGACTCTGCCGGCAGCTGTGGAGGGAGGGATTACTACTCCAGAGCAGCCACAGCCAGGTTTCATGCCTGCTGCCAAGGCATCGCGTGCGCTACGTGAGAGGAGGTGCCAGACTGAATGAGAAGAGCCACTGGGGAAGTAACAGGATGAATTGTGCTTGTGCTCTCTGATGCCAGCAATGCATCTTTGATCAGAAAAAGGGAGAGACTCGGCATATCATGAATGTAATCCCATCTCCTGTAAAGGGGCTTATGGCTAGAGGTCTGAGCACATGGAGTTCAGGCAGAAATACCGTATGCCCTCCTGCAAAGATTCACTCTTGAAGTTTAGTAGAAAACTCACCCTGCCATCAAGTCCAGAGAAATATACATTTTCCAACTCATTATTTTTTATAATAATGGTCATATTTTCACAGAAAACCCAAGTATGAAGCCAGAGCTAGACGCATACACAGCAACCACGGGGTTAGAATATGCAGTCTCTTCAAGCCTGTGTTTTCCATCACCTTCAATCCAACCTTATCAATTACAAAAAAAACTCCAGACATACTGTGCTTTTACTGATGTGGAAAAACATAAGTTATAGATTTATAGCGACATCTTGTCACTTCCTGTTAAAAGCCTTAGTGTGCAAAAGTCTCTGTAAAAACCCACATCTCAACAGCTTTTCTACATAACACAGACACCAAAGATAACAGCTGGAACCAGAGATGAATGGGGGTCTGAAAACTCTGTTCTGCTTTCACTTCTAGGATTTTAAACAAGAACAAATTTCAGTGAAGACAATGAATTTACATCAGTCTAAAACCACAGCGCAATACTACAATAAACATGTACTCCCTCTGAGTTTCTGCCTTCCAGACACCAGTCAGTTAAACGTTATTGAAATTAAATTTATTGCGTTAACATAATCAAGGCACTAAAAACAAGGCAAAAAAACCCAGACAATGTAACCTCTGGCTATTTTAATTACCTAATTTGTAGTGAACATTCAGTCTGGCACATGTATCTAAAAGTGAATTCAATATTGAGCAAAACTGTGGGACCAAAAAGCTAAGGAAGAACAGGTGCATCGAAAAAGATGGGATTCTGGCATGCCACATAGTATCAGAGATCATCAAAGGATTCAAGATGACAGTAATTTACTTTCACATACTACTTATCACTGAACAAGGCAACCCATTTTAGAGGTTGTTTGCCTTAGAGTATGGGCAGAAGTTTCTAATGAGAGCAGGCGGAATGAAAAACAACAAACTTCAAACCATGTATTTTGAGGCTCATACAAGCAGTGGAGGTGTGGACCACCAGCTGTTAGTCAGGATCCCAAACATACTGTGATGACATCGTAAGAGGACTGGACACTGGGAAGAGTTTGACAGAAGCTCAGTAATCTTCCATGCAATTACACAAGAAAGCTTATCCCAGGTTTTTGACTCAGATGTAGGCTGAATATCTCACAAGAAGATAGACCCGCTTCCTTATGTATGAGAACCATCCAAAATCTGCTTTCCCTCAAGTGATTTTGGCACTTTTGCTCCCAGAAACATTGGGTTGCCAAGAAGAAAAAGACAATGTGGAAGGAATGAATATAACAGAAGCCTGGGCTGGGTTCATCTGAAAAGTCTGTCTGCGGGGATGTTTGTTTCTTATTTCTGCAGCTGAGGTAATCACCTTCCATAAACAGTTCGTTTCCAGAATGTAGCTCCTTTTCATTTTTAGTATGTGGCAGAGATCTTTACATCTTCTAAAGTATCCACAGAAGAAATATAATTGCTAATGCAAGCCCGATTTGAAACACTAGATGTTCTGCTTAGCTGGGCTAGGTCAGAATGCCAATACCTAAAGGGGGTCTACAAGAAAGCTGCAGAGGGACTTTTTACAACGGCCTGTAGGGATGAGACAAGGCGGAATGACTTTGAAAGAGGGGAGGTTTAGATAAGATATTAGGAGGAAGTTCTTTACTGTGAGGGTGGTGAGGCACTGGCACAGGTTGCCCAGAGAAGCTGTGGCTGCCCTGTCCCTGGCAGTGTTCAAGGCCAAGTTGGATGGGGCTTAGAGCAACCTCATTTAGTGGTAGGCGTCCCTGCCCATGGCAGGGGGGTTGGAACTATATGATCTTTAAGGTCCCTTCCAACCCGAACCATTCTATGATTCTATGATTATTGGGTTTACTTCTTGATCAGATGAGTGCTCAAAATTGAATATATGAACTGCTGCTGCAGGAAAAGGCAAACTCTATCCCCAGTGGTCAGCAGTTAGTGCCCAAATCCTGAGGCTAGGAACTCCTGGATTACTGGTTTACATGAAAAGCTTCTCTGTCCTCATCAGTTAGTAACTGTCTTGTGCTCCAGTGCATGAGAGCTTATTATATACATTTATTTTGGTGTCTTGTCTAAACCTGAAACAGAATTCAATATCCTCCATTCAGTATCCGTTTTATGATAGCAGTTCTCTCTGAAACCTACTCCTGTCTCTCATTTTAGTATTTATTTCTGTTTCTCCTTGATAATTTCTGAGATACTGAAAAAAGAACTGACCATGTATTAAGGTTTTTAATAGCTTCTTGTGAACAAATTTGTGAAGTGAAAACTCGCTTTCTGATAATGTTCATAGCTAGGAGAACTCCAAACGGAGCTTTCGATTATTTGTGCCATGAGAAAACCTTACTATTCTATGCCCACAGAAGGTTTTACACATTACACAGGTAAATTAATTTGTCGTACCACCTACTTTTCGTGTTCATTCAGTTCTCTTGCTCTTTTTCCCCAAAGCCACTTTAGTCCTTTTTTGTATAAAATTCCCTCTCCCCACAGCCAAAAATGAGACTATTCAGGAGGAGTAACAGAACTCAGACATCTCATCTTTCACTTCTGGGTTTTCCCTTGTCAGACCTGATCAGAGAGATATGAATTTCTCTCTCTTCTTTTAATTCACAGAAAACCGCTAGTGTTTCTAGTTGAATATGCACTGCTCTGCTTTTACATTAATTTCTTCTCTCACACTAGTGTTTCCTTACCCATACCTTATCCAGCTAAGATAATCAAGAAAAGATTGAGACTTTACAGTATTTTTAATTGCAGTTAAGCAGTGACCAAAACACTGAAAATCTCTGTATGTGGTAAACCAAACAAACCTAAAAGAGCAAGTTCTTTAAACAAAAAATACTATTCCCACAGCTTGAGCATTGGTACATCCTGTGTTCTAGCTGCATCAGTAAATTTATTGCTGTGATAATACCAGAAATGACTAATGACATATTTGGCTGACGTTAATCACAACCAAGGGACTTTGTACAAGAACAATGACCAAACTGAGTGAACTTATTCTGCAGATGTGAGCTGACCAGACTTGACTGCTCTTCTCATATTACCTAAAACCAGCCTTAAAAAATTAAATAAATAACATACTTTTCTTCTTCCCAAATGACAGAATATTTTAATCCTTTTTACAAAATTCAACAACTTGACTTCAGTACTGATTTAAATGTAAAATAAGGATGGCATATTTTATTATTGGTTTTAGCAATGTGCAGAATTAACTCCGCATGTCTTGTTTCAGGGCTCAAAGCCCAACCTAAGAAACACAGGGTTTATTCTTCCACAAGCACATAAATGGGCATCAGTCATGGGCTGAACTGCCAAGATCCATGGTGCTCTCATCTACATGAACATACACAGGGTAACTCCATACTGTGAATCAGTGGCTTTTCATCCTGTTTTTCAAACGCAGGTACAGCCTTTGGGATCATATCCACCCTCTTCCTACTGTTTTGTAATGCCTGTTTCTTGGAACAGGATGTCTGTCAGTACAACTGCAAGCATCATTCAGATTAGCAGAGCAGCTGCCAAAACCTGCAGCCAGCCCAGGCTCTCCATTTAATGTTGGCAGAAAGGGGAGCATATCCACAAGCAAGCATTCATGAGCTGAAGATCTTCAATATGGGAGATATAAAACTGATTTAAAGAAAAGCAATCAGTTTGGTTTGCAACTTCTTTTGTTATTGGCTTTCATATGTTATCTTTTGTTTGAGTGTGCCACAGAGGAGTACAGCAGGGGTTTTGCTGGCTGAGCAAGGGAAATTAGTTACTGGTTGTAACGGAGATGTTACAAACAGGACTGCAGCAGATGAAGATGTATCCCTGATGTACAGGGGCAGTGCAACCTTTCGAAGACCAGTGTAGATAAAGGAACAGATCAAAGGGCATAAGATCACTATAGGAACAAGGAGCTTTCACAAATCTATAGCACCCTAATTATCAGCCCACAGCACAAGCAGAATCTCAGGAAAAGTGCTCAAGACTCTCAGATTCACATGCATGGGCACCCCCTGATGGAGTTAAAAGGATTAGCGCAAGCTAAATATTCATTCATACACTTGGAGGACAGTTTTCAGCCCACCCCATCCATACTTCTCACTGTACCGTACCTAATAACTAAAATGCAAAACAGACTCAAGCAAACAATTCTGCTTTACTGTTTTACATAAAAAAACCCTCAACATACAGCAAAGACTGAAGAGATGAAAGGTAGGACTGTTTCCTTTCATGGACTCTCTGAAAACCAGAAGACCTCTGAAGGCATACTTAAATATTTCATTAGCCTTTTAGAGCTCACTGTCTAGCTATCAGACCATAGCACCATGTTCTAAGATGTATCTTAGTAATTCACAAATTTGGCCTCTGCTTTTGATCCTCCCTAGAGGATTTTCTGCTCTGCTCACTGTAGTGCAGTCAGAGATTTTACTTCACTGCTGTACCCCTTGACTCAGTTAATGAGATCTGCCTGCCTCAGCTCACCACCATCTGGGAAAGCCTATGGGGACCCAGCCTGGGCAGTCTGATGGACTAAAAGGCTAAATACAACTTCTTGGTGGCAATCACAAGTTTTTATTTTGTCTTCATTGCTGAAAACACAAACTACATTTTGGGATTGCTTGGTCAGAAGAGCAGTGTTCTGCCAGGCAGCTGTGGGCAAGAGATTTTGCTACCTGCTGTTTGTATCTCTCAAAAAACAGGCAAAAAGACTAAGAGGAGGAGTAATGGGGCAGAAAAGCCCAGGACAGTGCTGAAACACGCAGGGAGATGTGACACAAATTAAAAAAGCTCAGAATTCAAAAAAACATTTTTATTTGAAACTAAGATCCCCTATTTCCTTAATGCTTGCAGCAAACAAAAGAAATGTTCATAAGATTGCATCACAGAAACACTGGACACCATCACTCACAAATAAAAAAAAAGGGAACAATTGTACGCTCACAGAAAAAAAGGAAGAAATTTGGAAATACCCGAATCAAGCTTCTTGTGCTGGAATGGATAATGACATCCTTTGTGAATTAGTCAAAACTCAGACTGGGACAGAGGCAAAGAGGTTTAGCAGAGAAAACTGTGTCTTGAAGTATGGGAAGTGCTTGTCAACTTTCACTCACCTATGCAAGTGCGCCCATCAGCATGGAGCCTATATCCTGCCCAGCACTGGCAGTGGAAGGAGCCATGTGTGTTGACACAGCCTTGCTGGCAGCCACCATTCACCACCGCGCACTCATCCACATCTAGAGAAGAAAGGCAGATGATGAGAATTACATGACAGCCTTAGCAAAGACATACCCCAGCTCTCCTGGATGGCAGGCACATAGCTTATGCGTAATGCAACCATTACACTCAGACTGGGGTTTTGTTTGCTTCAATTCTGTGCTGTAAACAGAGCAAAGAAAATTGAAATTATACGGTGCTTTTCAAAGTTCCTGCAGGCACTGCCTCTGTAGTTTCTACTTCTGAAGCCCTTGTTAATTAGAATGATCTGTGACATGGCTGTTTCCTCAGGGCCAAGAGAAAAATACAGCAAAATAATTAGGGCAAGGTAACACATCCGAGCTCGTAGGTACCACTGGTCAAACACTTGGCTTTTTTAAACATTTGCTGTATGAAGATTTGCTTTTGCACCACGCTTTTAATCCTTTTAGCGGGTGCTCTTGAAGGCACAAGCACATAAAACTAACATAAATGGAAAAAAGCAATGCAATAACAGAGCCCATGCTCTCAATCAACATTACATTTTCAACCACTGAATACACAGGGAGCTTAGACATTACATTTAAAAAGAATGATGATTTTGTGCCACATTTTCTGCGACTCGTTCCCCTTAGGCTTCCTAGCATTCACCTAAGCTTTCCACAGCATCTTTTCAGATGACCTCCCAGAAAAACTATGTGATTTCCTGATGATATTGTTTCCGAAGCTAAGCAGGTATCTTTCCATATTTCACATTTTAGGGATTAACATTTAGCCAAATGAAGAGGGAAACTAGTATTAAAATAGCTCGAGAATGTTGCTTTAAAGTTTCATCTGAAAATGATACACAATGATGGACAAAAAAAAAAATCAAGAACAGTTTAAGTAAACAGGTGAAGGTTTAGAACAGACCCACAAACCTGAATTTCCAAAAATACCAAATAAGCAGTGTCTGCACCTTTTCAGCAACACTGGGCTACTGTAAGTAGCACCTGACTGGCATGTTGACACCAGTGCCTTAAAAATTGACACAGAAGTCATTGGAAATAAGGGTCAGTTGGTCCATGCCCTGAACAGAATTTCACCTGGTAGATGTCTGCCTAGAATTTGTCTGCCTGTTCCTTAAGAGCCATGAGGGATGGCAATGCCACTTCCTTCCATCTCACCAAGCAGTGATGCCAGTACCAAATTACCCTCACCACCAAAGACATTCTCCCCTTGCTGAAGCCAAACTTCCCTCTGGCAAAAGACATCTAAAAAGAATGCCCCTTTCAACATCAAAGACTCCCATTGATTTAATTGCTCTTTAGATCAGGTTCTCAAATTATCTAAGGGGTTTAACCACCCAAGCACACCAAAGCAGGTGTGAATGGGGAGACTGGGATTTGAAGAAATAAAAAAGAGTGGCTGCAACAAGTGCTGCTGTGGGGAAGCCTGCCAGCAGTGGAGAACACAGCAACACAAAGAGGTTCCCCCATATTGCACTGAAGGAACAAGGGACCTGGCTTTCATATTTTTGCTGTTGATATATTTGCTTTGCTTTTAGCCTTCATGGTTTAAATTTTTTAAAATGCTTTTAAGTTTATTCTATTTTAGAAAAATCTAATCAAAGTTAAATGAAAAAGGAAGTTTTAAAGACGACTTGGAAAAGCACAGTGTCTTGGTCATAAAGAAATGTATTTATAAAGTTAAATTTTAATACTTCACATGTGAATTTCACTCACCTAAAATGAAATCCTGGTGTTGACTAGTGTTTAAATTCCGACCATTTGCTAACATGAACTACTTTTTAATCCTTCTGCTGTATTTGCTGTTTTATTAGACTGTATACTACATTTCCTACTGCCTGGAGACATCTGGAATACTCTTCTTTAACAAAAGTTTTGCTTTTTAAAATGTAAACAGTATGCAGAAAATGTTATTCATCTTTTTGAATTCTATGCTGTTAAGAACTAGCCTGATGAAAAATGTCAGGACAAAATCAAAACCAGGAAACTATTTGTCTCGAGTATCACAGAAATAAAACAAACAAAAAGACTCAGAAAAATATAACAAGGAAGCAGCTGAACTGTATAGCACATCACATTCTAGTATTTATACCTCAATAAACTCAAGTACTGGGAGCTTCAATATAGTAATTTTATAGGCTACAATCAGCTGCAGAATTAATCTAATATACCAGATACAGTTTTAAGCTATCATTTCAGCACTTAGAAAGGAGAAAAGATTAGTTCAGCTAACAAAAACAAGCACTTGGAGTTAGCTCTATTTGTTGGACCCTATTTGAACATTTAAGGAACTGACTTGGTTTACAGGGGATCTCTGCAGCTCCCGCAGCCACTGTGGCTCTTCTTTCAATGGCATTTCCCTCATGATAGCACATCCCAAAGGGCCATGAAGCAACTATATTGCTGAAAGGCAGTATAATTAGGATAAAAATAAAAAGACCCTGAAATAGTTGTATGTAAGAGCTATAGCCAACCCCACCCCAAGACTCCCTGCAGCAAGTCAGGACAAAAGCAGAGGTGAGATCAATGAACCTGCAACGCGACTCCACGACTGTCTTGCATGGATGCCATGTGAACAGCAAGTTTGACAACACACAATCCCTTCTAGTTTCAGGCTTTTTCTGCAGGATCAATATTTTAAGGATTATATGTTGATAGATTCCTTCACATACTACAGATATAATCATGAAAATTGTAGTGCGCAGTCGCCTTTCAATGTCTCCTACATCCCAAGGCCAGGAAACAACTTTGCCCCCAGTTACAGAAGAAAAATGCCTTAATTATCTTGTCCAGGGAGCAGTCTGCAAAGTGGACACTAATCTAAATGTTTCAATTGCACTTGAAAGTTATGAAAATCCTGCCTATTTGGACTTTCATATTTAAATTGCTATCCTGGTAACGAACATACACACCAGAAAACAACAGCTTATGCTGTTACAGGTACAGACATAGCTGCTTCTTTTTCTACATGGAAATACCTATAGCAATATAAAATTATTCTAGAATTATGAAGTTCTAAAAATATCAAAAAATATTATAGAAATATAAAGTCATTCTATTGTAATTCTAAAATATTATAGGATTATGGAAGATTGTGTTTGTTTAAGAATACATTATAATTAAATTTGGATTCATTTCCACTGCAGATCACACTGAAACACCTACGCGCTCAGTCCTCTGTAGTTACAATTTAGGACAATTATCTGAATAACCCAAATTTCAGGCCATTTACGGCTTGCATCTCGTGAGTCAGACTGCAATGAAAGTGCCTGCATTCCCACAAAACAGAGACAGAGCGATCTGCTGAGACGAGAAGTGAAATGAGAACAGTGTGCGATCCCAGGCTATCTTGCAGAGGGGATTATGCTGTTGGTGAATAAAGCAGAGTCAGTATCTGAATATCCTCCTTCCCACCTATGGAAGATTTCAACAGACATGCATTTTAGTGGCATTCCCCACTGCAGATGTCTCTGCTTTCCATGTTGTCTGTATGAAGTATGCCCCCACTCCTACACAGGGATACTCACTTTTCATCAGGAACAACTTGGCAGGAATAACCTTATGGTAAGTCATAAAAACTAAAAATGAATTCTACATGTTTCCAAGTTGCAAAGTATTTTAGCCACCATGACTAAGAGCTTTTTTAGCTCTTCATGCTTCTGAACCCTGTGCACTTGGACTGAGCTCAGTGCATTTTGACTGCACACTGCCCTTTCCTCCATCCTGACAGGATGCACACCTCAAGTCTCAAACATGGAAAAAGAGGATGCACAAACCACTGCCAGTGCAGTGCCCCTTTTCCAAGGGCAGATCCTATTGATGAAGTTACAGATTTTTAAGTCCTCCATATCCTTGAATAGGTTTTTGATAATCTTCAAGGAGGTAATAGTTTGTTTGCCCTGACCCAAACCTTTTTAAATACAGAACTGTGTGATTGCTTGTTTGGAATTCAGGGTCATCACATCAGTGGCTTTTTTCATATCCTTACTGAAACATTTAGGAACATCTACGATCAATCAGCTCCTCAAAAATAAGCAGACAGTGGTGTTAAACACAGATAATTAGTGAACCTGAAATCATGCTTTTATAAAGGAAAAAAAAAAAAAAAGAAAAAGCAAGGTGTTGCCAGATCAGTTCCCTACCAACAAGCAGCTTAGCTTTTTAAACCATTAAGAAATGTAAACAACATGCAAAACTAAATCCCAAAACAAGAAAAACACCAGTTCTGATGGCAGAAGGACTGAGCTTTTGCAGTATCCTCTCCATTTTTATCATCTTTCCCTTCTTTTCTGGCCATGCTGTGCAACACAGAGTTGTGAGCAGGTGGGCTATTTTTCAGTTCCCTATTTTCACGTTCTCCACTTGCGGCAGCCCAATGCCACTTGCAGTCAAGAGCAGGTTGCAGCCACAGCTCCCATGTCTCCAGATGGAGGGGAGCTGACGTTGACAAAGGTCCTTGTGCTTACACTACAAACCAGGTACCTCCTTAAACCTGCTCCTAAATACCCAAAGAATCAGGAGCTTCCAAAGGACACTATTTTAACCACTGGACAACTACTTAATGCAATCTTAAGTCCTCTTTGGTTTTAAATCCTCTTTTTTCAAGGAACTTGTCTAGCAATTTCTACAGTGACTGCTCCCACAATCAATGCATCACCTGCTCTCCCACAGGTCTGCATTGATGCATCCATGACCACCTGTAGGCATATGCATGTATTTGAGGCTCTGGTGCAGAACAACTGCTACTTTGGATCTCAAAGTGCCTGCAGATCTGCCTTTCTAATTCAATTTATTTTTTTAAAGCACCACTTTCTTCATAAGGTCATTATTTGTAATTTTTATCACTTTTCACATGCCTTCCTTCTGTGCACATGTGTGTGACTGCTCTGAAATTACAAGATGAAATGGTCCTTTAATATTAAGTTTACTGCACACTTTTCTTGCTTGTGTATTTTTAGTAAAATCAAAGACACAAGGTTACTTAAATTACAGCCCCTACTGCAGACCTGAGTCCCCCTCTTTGATCTGGCCAA